CTGTTTACATAACCCATATTCTCTGGTGTTTAGTCCTGGTTTAGACCCATATTCTCTGGTGCTTTATTCCTGGTTCAGACCCATATTCTCTGGTGTTTAGTCCTGGTTCAGACCCATATTCTCTGGTGTTTAGTCCTGGTTTAGACCCATATTCTCTGGTGTTTAGTCCTGGTTTAAACCCATATTCTCTGTTGTTTAGTCCTGGTTTAAACCCATATTCTCTGGTGTTTAGTCCTGGTTTAGACCCATATTCTCTGTTGTTTAGTCCTGGTTCAGACCCATATTCTCTGTTGTTTAGTCCTGGTTTAAACCCATATTCTCTGTTGTTTAGTTCTGGTTCAGACCCATATTCTCTGGTGTTTAGTCCTGGTTTAGACCCATATTCTCTGGTGTTTAGTCCTGGTTTAGACCCATATTCTCTGGTGCTTTAGTCCTGGTTCAGACCCATATTCTCTGGTGTTTAGTCCTGGTTTAGACCCATATTCTCTGGTGTTTAGTCCTGGTTCAGACCCATATTCTCTGGTGCTTTAGTCCTGGTTCAGACCCATATTCTCTGGTGTTTAGTCCTGGTTTAAACCCATATTCTCTGGTGCTTTAGTCCTGGTTCAGACCTATATTCTCTGGTGCTTTAGTCCTGGTTCAGACCTATATTCTCTGGTGCTTTAGTCCTGGTTCAGACCCATATTCTCTGGTATTTACTCCTGGTTCAAACCCATATTATCTGGTGTTTACTCCTGGTTCAGACCCATATTCTCTGGTGTTTACTCCTGGTTCAAACCCATATTATCTGGTGTTTAGTCCTGGTTCAGACCCATATTCTCTGGTATTTAGTCCTGGTTCAGACCCATATTCTCTGGTATTTACTCCTGGTTCAGACCCATATTCTCTGGTGTTTACTCCTGGTTCAAACCCATATTATCTGGTGTTTAGTCCTGGTTCAGACCCATATTCTCTGGTATTTAGTCCTGGTTCAGACCCATATTCTCTGGTATTTACTCCTGGTTCAAACCCATATTCTCTGGTGTTTAGTCCTGGTTTAAACCCATATTCTCTGGTGCTTTAGTCCTGGTTCAGACCCATATTCTCTGGTATTTACTCCTGGTTCAAACCCATATTCTCTGGTGCTTTAGTGCTGGTTCAGACCCATATTCTCTGGTGTTTAGTCCTGGTTCGGACCCATATTCTCTGGTGTTTAGTCCTGGTCTGGTCTTTAGTCCTTGTTTAGACCCATATTCTCTGGTGTTTAGTCCTGGTTCAGACCCATATTCTCTGGTGCTTTAGTCCTGGTTCAGACCCATATTCTCTGGTGTTTAGTCCTGGTTTTGACCCATATTCTCTGGTGCTTTAGTCCTGGTTCAGACCCATATTCTCTGTTGTTTAGTCCTGGTTCAGACCCATATTCTCTGGTATTTAGTCCTGGTTCAGACCCATATTCTCTGGTGTTTACTCCTGGTTCAAACCCATATTATCTGGTGTTTAGTCCTGGTTCAGACCCATATTCTCTGGTATTTAGTCCTGGTTCAGACCCATATTCTCTGGTATTTACTCCTGGTTCAAACCCATATTCTCTGGTGTTTAGTCCTGGTTTAGACCCATATTCTCTGGTGTTTAGTTCTGGTTCAGACCCATATTCTCTGGTGTTTAGTCCTGGTTCAGACCCATATTCTCTGTTGTTTAGTCCTGGTTTAGACCCATATTCTCTGGTGTTTAGTCCTGGTTCAGACCCATATTCTCTGGTGCTTTAGTCCTGGTTTAAACCCATATTCTCTGGTGCTTTAGTCCTGGTTCAGACCCATATTCTCTGGTGCTTTAGTCCTGGTTCAGACCCATATTCTCTGGTGTTTAGTGCTGGTTCAGACCCATATTCTCTGGTATTTAGTCCTGGTTCAGACCCATATTCTCTGGTGTTTACTCCTGGTTCAAACCCATATTATCTGGTGTTTAGTCCTGGTTCAGACCCATATTCTCTGGTGTTTAGTCCTGGTTCAGACCCATATTCTCTGGTATTTACTCCTGGTTCAAACCCATATTCTCTGGTGTTTAGTCCTGGTTTAAACCCATATTCTCTGGTGCTTTAGTCCTGGTTCAGACCCATATTCTCTGGTATTTACTCCTGGTTCAAACCCATATTCTCTGGTATTTAGTCCTGGTTCAGACCCATATTCTCTGGTATTTAGTCCTGGTTTAAACCCATATTCTCTGGTGCTTTACTCCTGGTTCAAACCCATATTCTCTGGTATTTACTCCTGGTTTAAACCCATATTCTCTGGTATTTACTCCTGGTTTAAACCCATATTCTCTGGTATTTAGTCCTGGTTCAGACCCATATTCTCTGGTGCTTTAGTCCTGGTTTAAACCCATATTCTCTGGTGCTTTACTCCTGGTTCAAACCCATATTCTCTGGTATTTACTCCTGGTTCAAACCCATATTCTCTGGTATTTACTCCTGGTTTAAACCCATATTCTCTGGTATTTACTCCTGGTTTAAACCCATATTCTCTGGTATTTAGTCCTGGTTCAGACCCATATTCTCTGGTGCTTTAGTGCTGGTTCAGACCCATATTCTCTGGTGCTTTAGTGCTGGTTCAGACCCATATTCTCTGGTGCTTTAGTCCTGGTTTAAACCCATATTCTCTGGTATTTATTCCTGGTTCAGACCCATATTCTGGTTTTGACACATATCCTGTCTGTCAAACTCTGTTAAACAATTATTTCTTTTAGTTGGATGAATCACCAGCTAATGAACGGAAACATTTTATCTGAGTTCAACTAAACACTGTCTGTAAACTTTAAAGTCCATCAAACTTTGTTGTTCAAACAGTCGCTTTATTCAGTGCAGGGGTCAGACTTTAATAGATATCTGAACATTTCAGTCTTTGAGTCCACACCGATTCCTCTTCTGCTTTCCAGCCGCTTGTCCACAAGTTGAGATGTTGCCCAGCTGGGTTCTGGTCGTGTTGGTGGTCTGTGGTGTGGTCAGGGTGACTTTCTCAGAGCCTCAGAAAATATCAGCTGAACAATGCAGAGTGTTGCTGCAGCAGCTGACAACCCGAGTGGAGAAACTGGAGAGAGCGCGTGAGGACAGAGGTAACTCTGCTGAACTCTGCAGGGGTTTATACACTTTTACCGACACTAAGGGCCAGATTTACTAAAGGTCTGCGTGAGTAAAAACGTGTGCAAACTTGATATCACCAGCAAATTAACATGTAAGCTGATCTACTAATGGTGTGCACGCAGAATGTCTTTCAAAAGTGCAAGATAGCACCTGTTACTTTTGCCTTAATGAATATGCAGTTTAGTCCATTGTAGGTATCGGAGAGGGAATGGGGCGTTGAGGCGTAGCGACCGGGCACGGTGCGGAGGGTCAGTGATCGTTCCCTCTGGCTGGATGAAGCACCATCTGCTGGCATTTCCTGGTGTCTGGGTCATTCCAGCATACTGAACCTGTTTCTGCTGGGGTTTCCCAAAGCGGTTTTTCAGGGGTGCTGTCCCAAGTTCTTAACGCAATCTCAGGCAGGATGGGCAGGTACAGACGATTTCTACTGAACGAAACAAACCAAGGTTTTTACGCAGTGGCTGCTTTCCCTCCCGACCCTCCATGGTGGAAACCATTAAAACCCTCATTTAAATACTGCCACCTCCACTGTCTTTGCTCCTGTTGTCATCTATGCAATAATTCTTAGTAAATCACCCATAACAGGAACTAAAATTGCACACAATTTAGTGCTCTTTGTTCGGGATGTTAGTGAATCTGGTCGCTAATGTTCAGATCTTTGCACAGTTAGAACAATATTTCAGCTGTAATGTGCAGATGTTTTATCGTCCCGGCCTTTCTGTGTGGAGTTTGCATGTTCTCCCCGTGTCTGCGTCGGTTCTCTCTGGGTGTTCCAGTTTCTTCCCACCGTCCAAAGACATGCGGACTAGGTTACTTGGTGACTCTAAATTGTCCTTAGGTGTGCTTGTGAGTGGTTGTTTGTCTATACGTGGCCCTGCGATGGACTGGCGACCTGTCCAGGGTGAATCCCGCCTTTCGCCCAATGTAAGCCTGGGATTGGCTCCAACCCCCCGCGACCCTGTACGGAGGATAAGCGGTTGAGTTTAGTTTTCTTTAGTTAGCCTTTAGCTAATGGAGCCTGTTAGTTTGACTTTCAGATGACTGCATTTAATGAAAAGCTTCTGTCTCCTGCAGGTAAATCTCAGGTGGCGTTCTCGGCCTCCCTCGTCACCGCTGAACAGGAAACCCATCACGGGCCTTTTGACAACGACACCGCGCTGGTGTTCAAGAGGGTGACGACAAACATCGGCAACGCTTACAACCCAGACACAGGTACGACCCACCTGTTCAGGTTCAGGACGTCAGATGTGGGGCTGTTTCAGACACATGTTTTGTCTGTTTTTAAAGGAATAAAAGTTTGTTGTAGAAGTAGAGCTTTGCTCTGGCGGTCTCCAGGTGAGCTCGACGTGTTAGTAGTAGTGTGAGTAGGATTTCTGACGCTGAATATTTTCAGTCCTGAACCAAATATCATCTATCTAGGAGCTGTTTCTCCCTGTTCTTTGTCTGCAGGCGTCTTCACAGCCCCAGTGAAGGGACTCTACTACGTCCGGTTCACCGGGGCAGTTGGAAACTCGGGGACCCTGAACGCAGCACTGCTAAAGAACGGGGAGAACATGTTCGCCATCTACGACTCCAGGGGCACCCACGGCAGCGGCTCCAACAGCATGGCGCTGGTCCTGGAGGAGGGGGACCGGCTCTGGGTCGTCCTCTGGCCTCGGCGGAGCATCTTCGATCGGACTCAGCTCAGCACCTTCAGCGGCTTCCTCGTCTTCCCCATGTGAGGGAGACGAAGCTCCTGCAGCTGCCATGGAGACGGTGGAGAAGATCCAGATCAAGGTCCTGAACCCAAACAGACCTAGATCTTCTAGTTTCTTTACAAAACATCCAGGATCACAGGTAGAACCTGAGAGGAGTCAGTCAGGGAGCAAGACGCAGTTTGAGATTGTTTTAATATCAAAACTGTGAAAAGTAATTTCCACTTCAGTGGGACTTTAAGATGTTTCATGACAAAATATTAAAGATGAATTGATCCCCAGTTTGTTTTGAAGAGCTGAGCAGGAAATAAAGGTTTAAGGTCTGTGGTTACTTCCTGTTTCTCTGACTGAGGTGAGCGTCTCGTTCTGCAGAGGTCAAACTGCGGTTCCATCTTCTTCCTCTAAAGTAAACTTCAGACACGGTCCTCACAGATCCAGAAAGGTTTTCACCTGGAACATTGTACACAAAATGCCAAAATCCGTACATCCATCCGTAATATTCTGTGTTTGCAGACACCAAGAGTCCCTTAAAATCACATTTATTCATTTAGCTGACACTTTGATCCAAAGTGACTTAAAATTGCCGTCTACACTGAACACAATTCTAAAGGCAACACCTACTCATCCTGAGCTGAACTCAAAGATCTATGTACACAAAAGGCCTATTTCTCTCAAATATTCTCAAATATTGTTCACAAATCTGTCAAAATCTCTGTTAGTGAGCACTTCTCGTTTGCCGAGATAACCCATCCACCTCACAGGTGTGGCAAATCAAGATGCTGATTAGACAGCATGGGCATTGCACAGGTGTGCATTAGGCTTAACAGTTTTTTCTTAAATTTAATCTTTCATGCATGTTAATTTATTATTACTATTATTGTTATGTCTTCTAGGTATGTATCGTTTCTATCCTTAACCTTTCCTCTCCTATACTCCTGATGTTAGTCTGTCCACATTTACTAAGGTTCAGGTCAGAGCTGTGAGATTGTTTTGGTGTTTTCCTCTCTTGTTGTTCCTGTCCTGGAATGTTCATTCAAGGCCTGGAGAGGATCTCTGTTCCCCAAAACATAGAAACCTAGACTGTGTAAATGATGATGCATCCCTTTGCTCGGGGCCAGACGCCCGAAGCCGCCCTAGGTGGCAGGTCTCTGGACCAGCTGAATATGTGTTTTAGTACTTCTGTTTATTCTCTTTTGTTAAACAAATTCTTCAAAGACAACAGTTTGTTGTAACTCAATTATTTGCTCAACTCCTCACCAGCAAGATACAATTTCCACAACAGGCGGTGACTTGACTGTGGAGCCCTTGATGTCAAAAACCAGTGCTAAAGGGAACCCAGGGGGCTCAAAATTAAATTTAGATTTTTTCCATTGTTTTTTTCTACTTACATATTTTCTATAATTATTTCTATTGCTTAATATCTTGACATGAAAAGTGAGCTATCGTAACAAAAGAATTTCTCCTCAGGATAATTTCTGATTCTGACCAAACGTCCGCATGAGACGAGTTGGGATGAGAATGATGTTGGTGGAGCCACTGAAGGGTTAAGAGTCGTTGCTCAGTTGCTCAGAGACACATTGATGGGTGTGTTGCAGGGTCTTATCCACTGCACCATCACCACTCCAGAACGAACTTTCGACGGGCTCCAGACATGTTGCAATGGAGGTGAAACAGTCGCCTGAAGCTGCTGCAGAAACTCTGAATTCATTCATTATTCACACACTTTCTCCTGACGACTTTGGTGCAAATCATTTTTTAAATGTTTTTAATGTTAAATAAAACAATCAGAGTTTTGTGTGTTCATACAGACACAGAGAGGGTTTAGCAGCAGGAAGTGAAGTAAACAGGAGTTAATTGTGGTAACGAGTCTCTTCCTTCCTGCGTCCATCACACAGTTTATCAGATTCCTCTGAGACAGAAGGTGAAGTCTGAATCCCTCAGCCTGCTTCATCAAATCATCAGACTTCAGCAGAAACAGAAATTAGGCAGAGAACAAACCTCCTGAAACCCTCAGACGCTCCTGTCCTGCTGGAACAACAGATGTTCTGTCTGACTTCTTGACCCAAACAAAGATGGCCGCCAGATAAAGCTTGCTGGGCCGGAGTCCTTTAAGTCTAAAGGTTGATGGGTTCATCTTTGGATTTATTCCAATCTGTTTATTTTGGGTTTCTGTGTGGATTTAAATGTATGGCGAAATAAAAAACATATAGTAAAAGAAAACATTTCAACAAAGGAGAGCAGAACATGTAAAATAATGAACATCAGAGATCAGACTGCAGGAGACTTTCCCTGTGGGGAGTCCTGGTGTTGGAAAAGCTAAATGAACACATGAATACTGAAGAAGCTACAGAGATGAAACAGACAATAATAAATAATTTAATAATAATAATAATAAAGACACGAACTGATCCAAACTGCATTCAACAGGAAATAATAAGCTGACAGCTGGGTTTTATTTTGAAAGAGTCACTAATATCGTGGGAACAATCCGTCACTTCTCCTCACAAAGATCTCTGCACCGTCACCGAGCTCCTCCATCCCGGACCCTGCGGGGTCCGTCTCCGTCCCCCCGACGCCAGCAGCCGGGTCCCGGTGTCTAGACCTGCTCTTGAATAAAATCCAGCGGATTTCAGAGATTTATTGTTATTCTTATAATAAATTGAGAAATGTGACGAAACATAAAAGGTTAAAAAGAAAACAGAAGATAATTGTAGTTCAGAGGTTAATAAAAGAGGAGAATAAACGTAAAGCAGAGATTGTAAAGTGACCTCATTAACATGTTAACATCTCTCGTCAGATGTTTCATGTGTTTCTCTGAATTTATGAATTTAAATTTAGTTTTGATCACATTTAGCTGTTTATGGAATTTTTCTGACTCATGAACGCTCTGCTGCTGAAACGCTTCCAGTGTGAGTTGATAGTAACGTGGTGCACACGCCGCCTGTGTGAGGCCGAGGTTGTAGCCTACTGTTGTGTTAGCTCTTGAGTGTTATATCTTATATATTTGAGATATAGGCCTGGTCAGTTTGTCCTCAGACAATAAGGACTCTAATGGAGAGTGCCTGGCTCTCTCCAGAGAGCCGCCCTGTTTGGATTGTATAAAATGTCGCCACTGCAAAAACCAGAATAAGTGCGTAGATGGTATTTGGTAAGTAGTCCTTAAGTCCCCAAAAGACCTCAGTATGTCTCCTCGGTATAAATCTTCTGTTCGGTCAATGCCACAAACTGAAGGAAGGGTCTCTTAAAGCTGCTGGTAAAGTGCTGTTAAGTGTGATAGGCGTCCTTGGGGAGAGGGAGATTGACACATGGGTCTAATCTGGGCGGCCCAAAACTATAACCCCCCTCTCTCAAAAAGCAGCACTAAGGTATCCCTCCTTATTCTTTAGACCTTGCCATTCCAGAGGAATTTACTAACAAGCGAGTTGTATTTCCTGAAAAAGGATTTAGGAAGTCCGGCTGGCATGGCCTGGAAAAGGTACATGAGCCCGGGCATAATAATATTCATCTTAATGACGTTGATGTGAAAGTGGTACATTTTTGTTAAATAATTCTGATTTTCAGTTGAATCACCAGCAGGAAGGGAATAACAGGTGTGGCGGCCCCGGGGCCTCTGCCAGGGTGTTTGTGTGTGTGTCTCTGTGACTGTGTTTTGTTGCAGGGTGAACTTCCTGGTGGAGTGGAGCTGAGAACATCATACATACATCAACATACATCCTGGTCCCCAGCACCGCGGCGTGTTGCTTTGTTGCTACACTATGTTTTGCCAGCCACATTTGTTAAGCTTGTTAATAAAACTCCTTTTTCTAGTAATCCCTTACGGGTGGTTTCCTCTATTTTCTGTGGCCCCAGAGCCGGGCCCTAACACAGGAAAACATTTCATCTGAGTTCAGATAAAATGGCGGGAGGCCAGTTTACACTGTAAACTTTAAAGTCCATCAAACTTTGTTGATCATGTTGTTCAAACAGTGGCTTTATTCAGTTCAGGGTCAAACCCGAGCTGGTATATATAAACCTCCACACTGATTCCTCTCCTGCAGCTTTTACTCCAGCTAAGATGTTACCCAGTTGGTGTCTGGTCGTGTTGGCGGTCTGTGTTGTGGTCAGGGCTCAGACTTTACCAGAGACTGAGAAAACAGATGAAAACGGGGGAACCCTGCTGCAGCAGCTGATCGCTCGAGTGGAGAAACTGGAGAGAGAGCGTGAGGACCGAGGTATCTCTGCAGGATTTAGACACTTTTACTGACACTTAGTGTTTTGATCTGTGCTGAGACTATGGCTGGGCGATACGGCCAAAAAGTCAGATCCTGGTACTGTTAGGCAGAAGAGGGCTGCAGGGTGAGGGAGAGAGACGCTGGCAGGACTTTACAGAAACATATTAATGAAGTCAACATCAAACTGTATCGGTATGAACGGTAACGTCTAATTTCAGATCTCCTTTGAAATGATATCGGTGTGCCGGCCAGCACTGACTGAGACTCTGCACAGAATGAGTGAACAGACACCAGATACACTAGAGTGGTAAAGATAATGAGGGGACTAATCAGACATTTACAGCCCCCTCCAACAGTCTTTGAACGGTGAGGCCACTTCCTTTGTTTTTGTTGTTCCCTGAAGACTTTTGGGTTTAAGATCAAAAGATGAGACAAGAGTTCAGAATTTCAGCTCTCATTTCCTGGTATTCACGTCTAGATGTGTTAAACAACTCAGGACATATGAGCGTTTGTTTTAGACCACAGCGTTCTGAGGTGAACAAAAGTAATGGAACAAATAATCTTAAAGTAAATAACATTTAATATTTGCGTGCAATAACTGCCTGAAGCCTGCGACACATCGTCATCACCAAACTGCTATTCCAGGCTTTTACCGCAGCTTCTTTCACTTCTTGTTTGTTTCAGGGTGTTTCTCTCTTCAGTCTCCTCTTAAGGAGGTGAAATGCATGCTGGGTTAAAGTCAGCTGATTGACTTGGTCAGTCTAAAACCTTCCACTATTTCCTCTGATGCAGTCCTTTGTTTTGTTGGCAGTGTGCTTTGGCTCATTGTCCTGCTGCATGATAAACTTCCTCCTCATTAGTTTCAATGCATTTCTCTGTAAATTGGCAGACAAAATGTTTCTGTCCACTTCTTCATTCTGCTGCGACATCATCAGTTCATCATCAATAAATATTACTGAGCCTGTTCCAGAAGCAGCCGTGACATCACCTCCAGCAGGCTTCACAGATGAGCTCGTACTCTTCAGATCATAAGCACTTCCTTTCTTTCTCCACACTTTGGCCTTTCATCACTTTGCTAGAGATTAATCTTGGTCTCATCAGTCCATCAGGCTTTTGTGGCTCATCTCTGTTCTTCTTTGTAAATTTCAGTCTGGCCTTCTGATTCTTCCTGCTGATGAGAGGTTTGCATCTTGTGGTGCGGCCTCTATATTTCTGCTCTCTGAGTCTTCTTCCAGCAGTGGATTGTGACCTTCACCCTGCACTGTGGAGGTCGCTGCTGATGTTTTCTTCACAGCTCTCACCATATTTCTGTCATCAACTACTGTTGTTTTGCTTGGCCGACCTGTTGGACGTCTGTTGCTCAGTACACCAGTAGTTTCTTTCTTTTTCAGGACGTTCCACATTGTTGTGCCCAATGTTTGTCCGATGGCTCTGCTCGATTTTCCTTCTTTTCTCAGCTTGACAGTGGTTTGCTTTTCTCCCACAGACAGCTCTCTGGTCTTCATGTTGGTTTATCCTCTTTAACAGGAAATGCAGTCTTTATAGGTTTGAACCAAGGATGAAAACTTAGACTAGTCATGCAGAGATATTTAATGTTTGGACAATCAACCTAAAAGGCAACAAGAAACATCTGTCAGTCACATGTTCCAGTAGTTTTGGAGGGGACTGTACGTTGTACTTTAAAGGCTACCGTACTGAGGATACACCCTCTGTTCTTCTGCTAGTTCTCATGAAAACCTTTACAACATAAACTGCAGTAGGTACAGGTAAATTTTTCAAAAATACTCAAACTCTCTCCATTTATTTTTCTTTTGTGAAAAGGTTTTTAGCTAATGGAGCCTGTTAGCTTGTCTGCTGACTTTCAGTTGACTGTATTAAATAAAAAGCTTCTGTCTTGCTGCAGGTGAAGCTCAGGTGGCGTTCTCGGCCTCCCTCGTCACCTCTGAACAGTGGACCCATCACGGGCCTTTTAACACCCACACCACCCTGGTGTTCAAGAAGGTGACGACAAACATCGGCAACGCTTACAACCCAATTACAGGTACAACTCACCTGTTCAGGTTCAGGACGTCAGATGTGGGGCGACACTGTTTTTTTAAGGAATAAAAGTTTGTTGTAAAAGTGGAACTTTACTCTGATGGCCTGGTTTAGACCATGGACACTGTGACGTCCCCCGTTGGTTTCTTGACTGCTGTCTATGGTTTGTTCTTTGATTATTATATTTATTATTTGATTTTGTTTCAAAACTGAATTGGATTTTACATTTTAACACCAAAACGGAAAAACAGATAAACAGACATCGTTTTTGGTTTTTCTGTTTTCAAATCCAAAATGGAAAACATACATTTTGATATTAAAGGTGTCCGATTTGTGTAGCTTAAACCTTCAGCAGATACACCTGGGGGATGGTGGTCCCTGATTAAATGTAATTAAGATGAGCTTGAACATCATCGTAGGTGGGTTTTTAAAACTGGAAGTAGAAGTAGAGCTTTGCTCTGGCGGTCTCCAGCTGAGCTCTGCTGCAACTTGTTTTCTGCAGGCGACGAGGACAGAAAGCTTTCAGGCTTTGAGGTTATGTTCAGCGATAAACAATTTTCTGACGCTGAATATTTTCAGCTGTGAACCAAATTTCTTTTCACACGTTTCAACACAGCTGCTGACATTTGGAGCTGTTTCAACCTGTTCTTTGTCTGCAGGTATCTTCACAGCCCCCAGGAAGGGACTCTACTACATCCGGTTCACTGGGGCGGTTGGAGACTCGGGGTCCCTGAATGCATCACTGCAGAAGAATGGGGTGTCTATGTTTGAAATCTACGACACCAGGAGCACCCACGGCAGCGGCTCCAACGGCATGACGCTGGTCCTGGAACAGAGTGATCAGCTCTGGATCACTCTCTTGTCCGGGCAGAGCATCTTCGATCAGACTCGGCTCAGCACCTTCAGCGGCTTCCTCGTCTTCCCCATGTGAGGGAGACGAAGCTCCTGCAGCTGCCATGGAGACGGTGGAGAAGATCCAGATCAAGGTCCTGAACCCAAACACAGACCTAGATCTTCTAGTTTCTTTACAAAACATCCAGGATCACAGGTAGAACCTGAGAGGAGTCAGTCAGGGAGCAAGACGCAGTTTGAGATTGTTTTAATATCAAAACTGTGAAAAGTAATTTCCACTTCAGTGGGACTTTAAGATGTTTCATGACAAAATATTAAAGATGAATTGATCCCCAGTTTGTTTTGAAGAGCTGAGCAGGAAATAAAGGTTTAAGGTCTGTGGTTACTTCCTGTTTCTCTGACTGAGGTGAGCGTCTCGTTCTGCAGAGGTCAAACTGCGGTTCCATCTTCTTCCTCTAAAGTAAACTTCAGACACGGTCCTCACAGATCCAGAAAGGTTTTCACCTGGAACATTTTTTAAACATGCAAAAACATCAGGTTGTAATATTCTGTGTTTGCAGACTTTAATCTTTCATGGAAAATCACAGAGGCCCTCAAAATGACATCACCTTTCAATGTGCTCCAGACTTTCATTCATTATTCACACACTTTCTCCTGACGACTTTGGTGCAAATCATTTTTTAAATGTTTTTAATGTTAAATAAAACAATCAGAGTTTTGTGTGTTCATACAGACACAGAGAGGGTTTAGCAGCAGGAAGTGAAGTAAACAGGAGTTAATTGTGGTAACGAGTCTCTTCCTTCCTGCGTCCATCACACAGTTTATCAGATTCCTCTGAGACAGAAGGTGAAGTCTGAATCCCTCAGCCTGCTTCATCAAATCATCAGACTTCAGCAGAAACAGAAATTAGGCAGAGAACAAACCTCCTGAAACCCTCAGACGCTCCTGTCCTGCTGGAACAACAGATGTTCTGTCTGACTTCTTGACCCAAACAAAGATGGCCGCCAGATAAAGCTTGCTGGGCCGGAGTCCTTTAAGTCTAAAGGTTGATGGGTTCATCTTTGGATTTATTCCAATCTGTTTATTTTGGGTTTCTGTGTGGATTTAAATGTATGGCGAAATAAAAAACATATAGTAAAAGAAAACATTTCAACAAAGGAGAGCAGAACATGTAAAATAATGAACATCAGAGATCAGACTGCAGGAGACTTTCCCTGTGGGGAGTCCTGGTGTTGGAAAAGCTAAATGAACACATGAATACTGAAGAAGCTACAGAGATGAAACAGACAATAATAAATAATTTAATAATAATAATAAAGACACGAACTGATCCAAACTGCATTCAACAGGAAATAATAAGCTGACAGCTGGGTTTTATTTTGAAAGAGTCACTAATATCGTGGGAACAATCCGTCACTTCTCCTCACAAAGATCTCTGCACCGTCACCGAGCTCCTCCATCCCGGACCCTGCGGGGTCCGTCTCCGTCCCCCCGACGCCAGCAGCCGGGTCCCGGTGGGTCGGCAGGTTGGACGGATCCTCCGCGGTCACAGCGGGGGGCCCGGCGGTGGTCAGGGCCGGGGAGGTGACGCCCTCTCCGGCCTGAGGGGGCTCGGCCGGTCCGGAGGAGGGGACCGGGCGACCCGGAGCGGTCTGACTGTCCGCTGATCCGGTTCTGTGAGTTTCAGAACTGGTTTCTTTAAAAACCTGAACTTTAACAGAACTGTTGTTTATACAAGTTTCAGAGATACCGGTCCGGGTCAGTGCGGGTCCGGATGTGGGTTTCCAGATGAGGCTGTAGTAAACCGCCAGGATGACGGCGCCCACGGACACGGACAGGACGTAGCCCACCACGGTGGCCAGTCTCACCCACTTCTTGTTGGCTTTGGCCACCAGCTGCGCCTTCTTCTCCCCGGTGTAGGTGGCCGGTTTGCCCCGCTCCGCAGGGCGGAATGCGGGGGTCCAGGTGCGCGGGTCCCGCATGATGGTCCTGCGGGTCGGAGCTGGAGGAGGAGGCGGTGCGTGCGGCCAGCGGCAGTGATCCGTCAGCCTCCCGGTCCTGCCGTCGTCCTCATCTGGACCCACAGCTGGATTCCAGCGGCTTATAGCCGGACTGAGTCAAGGTCCACCGAGTCACCGCGGACCGGAAGCCAAGCCTTCAAAATAAAGGCTTAATGTTTCGAAATAAAAAGATTTAAAACTCACTGCAGCTTAAAACAGGTGGTTACTGTTTTAAACATTTTTACTTTTATAGGCTATTTTTATATAATTTCTCGATGTTGCCGTTTAATAACAGCTGTTTGGAGAAGGCTCAGGTCATTATACATATATATTTTATATTTCTGAATATTATTTTACATCCACTCAGTGTAAAAAGGTTTGGACAGTTTCTTTTTTGTGACGGTTTTTGTTTTTCACTTTGAGTTTAAGTTTGAAAGTTTTCGTCTGAAGTCCTGTGTTGAATTTAAATGTAATCAAGCTTTATTAACATGTGAATATCAGGACACGATGGCAGGTGGTCAGGAGACATCAGGAGTGGCTCAGATTATAACTGATGAAGGTTTAACTGCAAACTGTTTATATGATACAGGTTATTCTGTTAACAAGCATAAACTAGAGACTCAGGATTTTCTACATGTGTTGTTTGTTTGAAACATTTACTTTTTACAACACTGTCAGCTGTGATTTAATGTGAAAATCCAATATCATTTCCGTTAAACTTGTTTTGCAGTTCAGCAGAACCCAAGCAGGAACCTCTGGCTGCCTTAAACCTGCGTCCTCTCCAGCAGCCAGCAGGGGGCGACTTAAACCTGCGTCCTCTCCAGCAGCCAGCAGGGGGCGACTTAAACCTGCGTCCTCTCCAGCAGCCAGCAGGGGGCGACTTAAACCTGCGTCCTCTCCAGCAGCCAGCAGGGGGCGACTTAAACCTGCGTCCTCTCCAGCAGCCAGCAGGGGGCGACTTAAACCTGCGTCCTCTCCAGCAGCCAGCAGGGGGCGACTTAAACCTGCGTCCTCTCTAGCAGCCAGCAGGGGGCGACTTAAACCTGCGTCCTCTCTAGCAGCCAGCAGGGGGCGACTTAAACCTGCGTCCTCTCTAGCAGCCAGCAGGGGGCGACTTAAACCTGCGTCCTCTCCGGCAGCCAGCAGGGGGCGACTTAAACCTGCGTCCTCTCCGGCAGCCAGCAGGGGGCGACTTAAACCTGCGTCCTCTCCGGCAGCCAGCAGGGGGCGACTTAAACCTGCGTCCTCTCCGGCAGCCAGCAGGGGGCGACTTAAACCTGCGTCCTCTCCGGCAGCCAGCAGGGGGCGACTTAAACCTGCGTCCTCTCCGGCAGCCAGCAGGGGGCGACTTAAACCTGCGTCCTCTCCGGCAGCCAGCAGGGGGCGACTTAAACCTGCGTCCTCTCTGGCAGCCAGCAGGGGGCGACTTAAACCTGCGTCCTCTCTAACAGCCAGCAGGGGGCGACTTAAACCTGCGTCCTCTCTAACAGCCAGCAGGGGGCGACTTAAACCTGCGTCCTCTCTAGCAGCCAGCAGGGGGCGACTTAAACCTGCGTCCTCTCCAGCAGCCAGCAGGGGGCGACTTAAACCTGCGTCCTCTCTAGCAGCCAGCAGGGGGCGACTTAAACCTGCGTCCTCTCTAACAGCCAGCAGGGGGCGACTTAAACCTGCGTCCTCTCTAGCAGCCAGCAGGGGGCGACTTAAAGCTGCGTCCTCTCTAGCAGCCAGCAGGGGGCGACTTAAACCTGCGTCCTCTCTAACAGCCAGCAGGGGGCGACTTAAACCTGCGTCCTCTCTAGCAGCCAGCAGGGGGCGACTTAAAGCTGCGTCCTCTCTAGCAGCCAGCAGGGGGCGACTTAAACCTGCGTCCTCTCTAACAGCCAGCAGGGGGCGACTTAAACCTGCGTCCTCTCTAGCAGCCAGCAGGGGGCGACTTAAAGCTGCGTCCTCTCTAACAGCCTGCAGGGGGCGACTTAAACCTGCGTCCTCTCTAGCAGCCAGCAGGGGGCGACTTAAACCTGCGTCCTCTCTAGCAGCCAGCAGGGGGCGACTTAAACCTGCGTCCTCTCTAGCAGCCAGCAGGGGGCGACTTAAACCTGCGTCCTCTCTAGCAGCCAGCAGGGGGCGACTTAAACCTGCGTCCTCTCTAGCAGCCAGCAGGGGGCGACTTAAACCTGCGTCCTCTCCAGCAGCCAGCAGGGGGCGACTTAAACCTGCGTCCTCTCCAGCAGCCAGCAGGGGGCGACTCCAGCGGCTGCAGAAAGAAAATGTTTCTACTTGTCAGCTGATTTATTCCCTCAGTAAACACTTTCCTGATGAGTTTATGGTCTCAGTCTCTAGTTTCAAGTCTTCTTCAACACAGCATGATGTTCATTTAGTAAATTATGGTCCCATTTAGAGGAACAGAGACCAGGAAGCAGGGGGGGCTTTAGGGCGGGGCTACAAGCTGATTGACTGGGGAAAACCTTTAAATTAACTCACAACAGAGTTTTTTTTTTTTTTTTACTTTATGTCTCATTAAATCTTTTCAACATTTGATCCCAAAGCAGCTGATTTCTGAGTTTAACTGAAACTAACATTTTTATTGTTATTCTTATAAATTAAGAAATGTGATAAAACTTAAAAGGTTAAAAAGACAGAACTTAAAATTAGTTCAGAGGTTCGATGTGACGAGAAGAATCAACGTAAAGCAAATATTATAAATTGACCTCATTAACATCTTTAATAACATGTTTGCTCAGATGTTTCATAATATTAAATCTTTTTGTTCTATGATGTTTTAATTTACAAACTTTATGAAGTTTTTTCTCCATCGTGAAGTAAGTCAGGTCATTACTTTTATCAATATGCAACAAAACTAATTTTAACACCAACTGAATCAACAAGAAAAGAGTTTTATTTTTTAAAGGACAAAAAAATAAGCAACCAATCAGAGTCCAGTGTCATCATCGGATTAATGAACTTGTGCTCACCTGCATGCAGCTCTGACATAATGATCATAATGTTGTTGTTTTTACACTGATCCTCCATCCAGACCGAAACCTTCAGGAGAATCACAGCCATGTTGTGAGTTATCTTGAACAGGAAATGATATTTCAAATTAAAAGTGTTTTGGGAATGAGATATTTATTTGTCACTTTTTATAAAACTGAGATTCACTCTGAAGGAATCGACTTTCCAGGATGAGTTTGAAATATTACAACACGGTAAACATCAGATTAAATGATTAAAAACAACATGAAGCACAAGTTTAGCAGAGTGAAAATGTATCTGTCTAATGTAGCTGCAGGAGAGAAACCAGATCAACCTTCACTTAAACCACTTGGGGGGGTAAAGTGAAACTAAAGATGAGGTGACCCAGCAGACGTTTAGACTCGTCAGACACTGATATGACTAATAACTAAAGGTTTATTGGTGCAGTGCAAAAACAAATTCCTCAATGTTTTTAGTTCCACTGCTGAGTCAAGATTTGTTCTGTGAAGAAATCATCACTGCAAAGATTTACTCAGAGATGATGTACAAACTTTGGACAGGGAGGAGAAATAAAATCAGTCTATCAGTGAAATAGAGCCTCTGGATTAAACTACCAACACACTTTAAAACACGGAGGAAGATTTAAACACAGACGTTCCTACATGTGTTCAGGGGACAGAAGAGACAGGACGGACTCACACAAACACACAATAACTGACAGAACGTGAGACACAAACAGTACAGGGGCCCTGAAGGCCCTGAAGGGGTCACAGACTGATGTGTCTGAACTCGCTGAGGTTTCTAATGAGGATCATAATAAAGTCACAAAGTGTCTCTCAGCTTGTCTCATTGACTAAAGATTAATAATTAGCACTACAACAGTGTTTCTGAGTTTCAGAGTTTCTGCTGCTTCCTGGTGCCACGTTGGTAACAAGCATCCCTCCAGTCACAGAGCAACAGGAACACCTGTCAATCAAAACAGATTCACAAACCATCAACGATGAGCAGAGACGGGCAACATGACATTTATGTTAATACTAAACCTGGAGCTGCAGACATGTAAAAACATTCAGTTAATAAAACGACACTGATTCATTTAGTTTAGTTTGACAAATAACAACATCTTAACAACAACTTACTTTTTTTCTGAGCTCTCAACCACATCTCACAGTTTGCTCAGTATGGTGAGATGATATGGAAAACTGAGCCTCCATGAGATGTGGTTAAGGGCTCCAATAAAAATGATTTCTTTTCCTTATTTCTGACCTAAGATTTTTAACGTCTTAAAACTTTAAAAGTATAAATCAGATCAGTGACACGGTTTTGTTCTGTGGTTCCTCCTGTCAGAGTGAATATCTGGTTCTACACACCTGTGACGTCGACTCCCTGCGCCTCCTCACTCGTCCAGGCCTTTCTTGGAGGATCCGTCCCTGGTCTTTGCCTTCAGCTTGTTCACCTGGGACTCGGCGATGTCGGCCCTCTCCTCGGCCTCCTCCAGCTCGTGCTGTAGCTTGCGGAGTTTGGCCATGTTGGTGTTTGCTGCCTCCTCGGCCTCCTCGGCTGCATGTTTGTAGGACTTCACTTTCAGCTGCAGCTTGTCCACCAGGTCCTGGAGGCGAGCCATGTTCTTGCGGTCTTCCTCGGTCTGGTAGGTGAGCTCCTTGACGCGGCGTTCATACTTGCGAACCCCCTTGATGGACTCTGTTCCCCTCCTCTGCTCCGCCTCCAGCTCGTTCTCCAGCTCTTTGATGCGAGCCTCCAGTTTCTGGAGCTGCTTCTTGCCACCCTTCATGGCGATCTGCTCTGCCTCGTCCAGGCGGTGCTGCAGGTCTTTGATGGTCTGTTCCATGTTCTTCTTCATGCGCTCCAGATGAGCGCTGGTGTCCTGCTCCTTCTTCAGCTCCTCGGCCATCATGGCAGCATCTGTGATGGCCTTCTTTGCCTTCTCCTCAGCGTTGCGGTTCTCATGAATGGCCTCCTCCACCTCGTTCTGCAGGTGCAGGAGGTCTGCTTCATGCTTCTTCTTCTGGTTGATCAGGCTGGTGTTCTGGGAGTGCAGGAGTTGCATGCGCTCTGTAGCATCAATCAGCTCCTGTTCAGCCAGTTTCCGACTTCTCTCCGTCTGCTCCAGGGCGGCCCTCAATTCCTCCAGCTCGGCCTGGATCAGGTTGTTTCTGCGTTCCAGGAGAGTGATGTTCTCCCTCAGGTCATCATTGCCATGCTGGGCATCGTCCAGCTGCAGCTGACAGTCCTTCAGGAACGCCTGGAGGCTCTTGACCTGTTTCTGGGCATCAGCTGCCTGCCTGTTAGCTTGGCTAAGCTGGACCTCCATCTCGTTGAGGTCACCTTCCATCTTTTTCTTGACTCTCAAGGCCTCATTGCGGCTCCTGGTTTCAGATTCCAGGGAGGACTGAAGCGACTCAAGCATCCGTTGGTAATTCCTCTTTGCCTGCTCCATCTCCTCGTCCTTCTCAGCCACCTTGCGCTCCATGTCAGCCTTCACTTGGTTGAACTCGAGCTGGGCTCGGAGGATCTTGCTCTCTTCGTGCTCCAGAGAACCTTCTGCCTCCTCCAGTGCTGACTGCAGCTCTGCCCTTTCTTGCTCAAGCTGCTTCCGGATCTTCTCCAGTTCATGAGCACTCCGGCCGCCCTCTCCCAGCTGGTCGGTAAGGTCAGAGATCTCCTCTTGGAGGTTCTTGTTCTCTCTCTTCATGGTCTCAAGTTGATCCAGGGCCTCCTCATAGGCGTTCTTCAGTTTGAAGAGCTCAGTGCTCAAACACCGGGCTTCCTTCTGAGAGGCCTCCAGCTCACACTGCGACTCCTCAAACTTTTGCTTCCACTCTGCCATGACTTTGTCAAAGGCTCTTTGCTTTTTGTCTAGGGCTGCAGATGCTGCATTGGATCTCTCAAGGTCCAGCATCAGGTCTTCAATCTCATTTTGGAGGCGGTGCTTGGTCTTCTCAAGGGATGAACACTTTGCATTCACTGCCTCGATGGCCTCCTCTGCCTCCTGCAGTCTTTGCACAAGCTTCTTCTTTGCGTCCTCCAGTTCTTCTGTTCTCTGGATTCCATCGGTCTCATATTTTGTCCTCCATGCTGAGACCTCGGTGTTGGATTTGGACAGAGCTCTCTGCAGCTCAGCCTTGGCCTCCTGCTCCTCTTCAAACTGCTCTCGGAGCAGATCACAGTCATGGCGAGCAGATTGCACAGCGTGGGCGAGGGCGTTCTTTGCCTTGACCTCTTCTTCCAGCTGCCTGCGTAGATCTTCTACCTGCTGGTTGTACGAGTTCTTCCCTCTGGTCAGCTGTGAGATCAGACACTCTTTCTCCTCCAGCTGCCGTCCAAACTCCCCATTCTCAGTGAGCAGCTTGGCCCTCTGGGTAGTTAAGTCATTGATGGTGCGTTGAGCTTCCTCATATTTGCTCTTGTACTCGTTCATGTTGTCTTCCATTGTACGGCACATCTTCTCATTGTGGGACTTGGCCTTCACAACACTCTCCATGTTAGAACACAAGTCGTCCAGCTCCAGCTTCAGCTCACTCTTTTCCTTCTCCAGCTTCTGCTTCACACGCTGCAGGTTGTCAATCTGTTCGCCCAGTTCAGCAACGCTGTCAGCATGTTTCTTCCTCAGGGAGGCAGCGGTGGCCTCATGTTGGAGGGTAGATTCCTCCAGCTCCCTTCGCAGCTTCTGAAATTCAGAATCTCTCTTCTTGTTCATCTCTACCTGTGCTACTGTTGCTCCACCTGCCTCCTCCAGACGTTCGCTGATGTCCTCCAGCTCACGGGAAAGATCAGATCGCTGCTTTTCAACTTTGGCCCGGGCTGCACGCTCAGCATCCAGCTCCTCTTCCAGCTCCTCAATTCTTGCCTGGTTTTCCTTCAGCTTCTTTTGGAGCTGAACTGAAGCAACCTGCTCATCATCAAGTCTTGAATTTATTTGGACAACCTCAAAGTCTTTTTTCTTTAGTTTTTCCTCCAGCTGCTGCTTGTCATTTTCCAAGTCCATCATACTCTCCTGCGTCAGTTTCAGGTCTCCTTCGAGCTTCCTCTTTGAGCGCTCGAGGTCCATCCTGACTTTCTTCTCTTGCTCCAATGAGCCCTCAAGATCGTCAACCTGTTGCTCCAGCTTAGCTTTGGCTTTGGTCAAGCTGTTGGCTTTGTCTTCTTCACTCTGAAGGTCATCCAGTGTCTGCTGGTGAGCCTCCTGCAGTGCCTTCTTCTCTTTGGTTAGCTTCATGATGTTTTCATCCTGGGAAGCCATCTCCTCCGTCAGGTTTTTCACCTTATTCTCTGTGGCATGTTTCTCTTTCTCGACCTTGGCCAAAGTCAGCTCCAGATCATCTATGTCTTTCTTCAACTCGGAGCATTCATCTTCAAGCTTCCGTTTCTTAGCTGTGAGATCTGCATTTAGCTCCTCTTCATCTTCAAGTCTTTCTGTCATCTCTTTCAGCTTGGCCTCCAGTTGAATCTTGCTCTTTATAAGCTGTTCGCAGCGCTCTTCAGCATCTGTCAGTGTGTCCTGTTCAGACTGAATTTGCAGCGTCAGATCGTTCTTCTCTTGGAGAAGAGTCACTATTTTCTCTTCTAGTTCTTTCCGTCTTGCTTCTGATTTCTCCAGAGCTTCTTTCAGCTTATTGAACTCATCCTTCATGTTAGCCATCTCCTTCTCAGACTCTGCGCTCTTCAGAAGGGGTTTGATCTTGAAGAAGAGCTTCATCCAGGGCCAGTTCTTTACACCCAGAAAAGAGCGAAGGTTCCACTGGATGACCATCAGGGCATCTCTGCGTTCCACTAGCTTAGCAAACTCTGCCCTCATGAGGATTGCCCGGGCATTAGCCTGGATCCTGGTGATGATTCGAGAGAGTTGTTCATCTCGCATCTCCTCCAGTATGCCCAGCAGACCAGCTTTAAAGAAGACTTTGGTGTGGCCAAACTTGTACTGCGTGTGGTCGATGTCCAGTGATCCCAGCAACTTCTCAGCGCTCTTCTTGCAGTCGAGGAACTGCCCTTCAGGGATGGCAGAGGCATTCAGAATCCTGTACCGTTGTTTGAAGTCACCATAGAGCACCCTGTTTGGGAAGCCCTTCCTGCATATTCTGATGCCTTCCAGGACACCGTTACAGCGCAGCTGGTGCATCACAAGGCAGTTGTCCATGACCCCTGGAGTTTTCCTCTCATTAGGAATCAGACAGCGGACAAAGTGGGGGTGTGTTGTCTTCAGGTTGGTCATCAGCTTGTTCAGGTTTTCCCTGTGAAGTGCAGACACAGTCTGGAATGAGGAACCTTTCTTCTTGGCTCCTTTACCGCCTCCTTTGTCACCGCCGTCAGCTGAATAACTTGAAAACAGCAGGCTGAGAAGTTTAAGAGATGATTTCTGATAAAGGCCGACCACAGTTTCATTCAGTGGGTCTTTGTTTTTGACCAGCCAGTTGCCGATGTTGTAGTCCACCGTGCCAGCATAATGAACCAGGGCGAAATGAGCCTCTGCTTTCCCCTTTGCAGCCCTCGGCTTCTCAAACATCTTGTTCTTGCCCAAATGATTATCATAGAGCTTGGACTTGAAAGTCTGATCACTGGCTTTGGGAAACATGCATTCCTCCTCCAGAATTGACAGGATCCCCAGCGGCTTCTCAATGAGGTCAATACAAGCTTGTAAGTCCATCCCAAAGTCAATGAACTCCCACTCTATACCTTCTTTTTTATACTCTTCTTGCTCCAGGACGAACATGTGATGGTTGAAAAACTGTTGCAGTTTCTCGTTGGTGTAGTTGATGCACAGCTGCTCAAACGTGTTGAAATCAAAGATCTCAAATCCAGCAATGTCCAGCACTCCTATAAAGTACTGACGATGCTGTTTTGTGTCCAGGGATTGGTTGATTCTCACCACCATCCAGTTGAACATCTTTTCATACACTGACTTTGCCAGAGCACCGAGGGAGTAGTTGACTTGGTCCACACTTTGTCCTTTGGTAACGTATTCGTTTCCTACCTTGACTCTGGGATGGCACAGCCCTTTGATGAGGTCAGCAGAGTTCAGCCCCATTAGGTAAGCCGATTTATCAGCAGCCTCCGTCCCGTCCGGCTCCGCCTGCTCCTCACGCTGCTTCTGTTTGAACTTCATGTTGCCGTAGTGCATAATGGCGCCCGTCAGTTTATAGACGCCCATCTTCTCTTCTGCAGTGAAGCCGAGTACATCGAAGGCGCTGTCGGTGGCCATCAGCTCCTCTGAGTCGTTGATGGAGGCGACTGTTACCTCTCCTTGGGAGATGTAGGAGTAGTCGTATGGGTTGTTGGTGATGAGCAGCATGTCCAGCAGCTCTGGCTTCTGATTGGACAGGATCTGGTAGAATATGTGGTAGTTCCTCTCAGCCTTGAGCTGAAAGGTGACTCGTGACTTCTCCAGCAGGTACGTCTCGATGTCAGCAGACGCCAGCTTGCCGCTCGTACCGAAGTGAATTCTTATGAATTTTCCAAAACGAGACGAGTTGTCATTTCTCAGCGTTTTGGCGTTGCCGAAAGCCTCGAGCGCAGGGTTTGCCTGGATGATTTGATCCTCCAGTGTCCCTTTGCTGGTGTCTCTTTTTCCACCGCCGACTGCAGCGATGCTGGCAAAGTACTGGATGACCCTTTTGGTGTTCACAGTCTTCCCAGCTCCAGATTCTCCGGTGATGAGGACAGACTGGTTCTCCCTGTCAGTCAGCATGTACTGGTAGGCGTTATCAGAGATGGAGAAGATGTGAGGGGGGGCCTCGGTTCTCTTCTTCCCTCTGTAGGCTGCCACCACGTCGGCATCGTAGACAGGAAGCCACTTGTAGGGGTTGACAGTGACACAGAAGAGCCCAGAGTAGGTGTAGATCATCCAGGCTGCGTAACGCTCTTTGAGGTTAAACAGCACAGCGGGCTCGTGGAGGAAAGTGAACATCGCCATGTCTTCGATTTTGTCAAACTTTGGTGGGTTCTGGGGATGGACGTCCACCTCCTTCACGGTTACCGTGGTCCCGTCCTCCTTCTTGACAGTCACCATCCCTCCATCTTTGCTTTGGATTTGACCCTTCATATATTCCACCTTGTCGTCAACTACGAAGCATTCGGTCTTGATGTCGAAAGGTCTGGTCTGGGCTTCCAGGCGCTCCCTGTCTGACTTCCTCAGGTAAGGAGCAGCCTTCCCGAACTCGGCCATCAGAGCGTCACCCATGGTTGTGGGTGGATGTCAGAAGAGAGCTCAGTCTGAAAAGAAGCCTTTCTGTCTCTGAAGCAGACTGCAGGGTCTTCGCCACAGGAGGAGGTTTATAAAGGATCCCCGTGGACCAAATTAGGAGATAACTTCTGAAGAGAGAAAAAAAGAGCTGAAACTAAATCTGCCTCAGGGACAGAAAACACCCTGAGGGCAGATTCAGGACCTTTGGCTGTTAAAGTCCATTTTAGGAAAAGGAGTGATTCACTGCTTATCTGCCAGCTGATAGGGCCCCCGACACCTCTCCATTTAGACTCAGCTTCTACTGTCCCTCACAGGACTGGTGCTTATACTGCAGCTCATCATCCACCACTTCTTTCACAGCGCAATCATTCACCTGCAGACATATTTAAAAAGCAAAACCTAATTTAAAAAAAGGTTTATCAGGTGACTTTTTTATATATTTAAACAATTTTTCATATTTTAGTCTGTTTGGCTGTAAAAGTGCTGATCCAGAGGAGATTATCAATCATTAAATTGTTCCAAATTTGCATTTAATGGTCGGAGTCTGCAAGTATAATAACTCATTTAATAATATTTAAGTGCACATGACTGACAGCAGAAGTACTAATTTTACTAATGAATCCCAAAACTCTGCTGAACTATTCACCTGTGCTGCAAACATTTTCCTTTGAAACAGTTAGTGAGCCCAAAACATATTTTTATTTAAATAAGAAAAAGACAGAAAAGTAAATTATTCAACCTGTTTCTAAAATAAATAGAACAAGAAGTAAGGGAAACAGTTAGAAACAAGTGGTTTATTATAAGTTTCAGAAGGTTAGACACCTGAACACGTCCATATTTTTATCTCTCATTTCTTTGTGTTTCATCACCTTAAACCATTTTATTTAAATCTATATTTTGTCTTTTGTCCTTTTGTGTCTTGAGTTTGACATCTGTATCAGGATACTGTTCTGCAACAAAATATTAGGCTAATGTGATTTTTTAAAATTATATTTCTGCATATTTAAACCTGTAAAAGTATCTGTTAGTGGCTCCAACATCACAAACTCATATTGTTTGTTCAAACTGTTTGGTGGATCCTCCTGCCGTCTCTCCAAGCAGCTGGTCTTTAATAAACCTCAGACTGATCGTTTTAATATCACACTCTCAGCCATTTCTCCAGCAGCGGAGATCTCAGGCTGAATCCTTTTGTCATTTCCAAACACGGAGTCTTTGGTTTGACCGAGACTCAGATATGAAGAGTGTGGTCAGACTGACTGAAGTGGTTTGTCTCTTTATCTCGGACGCTCCGGACTCATCAGCTCTCAGCCTCCAAATAGAAACCAGAGATACTTCAGAGTTTTTATCTCAGTCACAGACCGACATGTGGGGGCTCTCATCAAACCACGGGACTCCTCGTGATTCAGACTGAGTGAAAAGGTGAATATAATGTAACATCTGCTCAGATTCATGCTGCTGACTTCCTGTCTGGTCAGACACTTCCTGCTTTAAATCATTCAGACTGTAGTTCAGCTGATTTTGTTCAGTAAAAAAGGGGTTTGTTGAAAAACAGGTTCATATTTCTCAAAGCTAAGAAACTGTTACGTTTCAATGAAACTCAGAAGCAGAAAAACAAATGAAACAACTGGGAAATAATAATAATAATATTAATAATGATAATAATAATGATGATAGTAATAATAATGATGATGATGATGATGATATGATGGTTATCGAGGTCGGACGAAGACAATGTGTTTCAGAGAATTCCCTTTGAAAAGTGGATAAATCTGATTACAAACTGTTTTCACAGATAATATTTAATATTTTTTATTTAGTTTCAGAAAACAACAATGCCCAGTTCTAGTTCACATCGTATTGATTACTTTTATTTATTTATTGTTGCTTAATATTATCACTTAACACAAAGTCTGCCATTATAAACTGTCCGTTTGTGTATCTGTTTGTATTGGTTTAATTTTCTTATTTTTTTGATGTATTCAATGAAAACACTTATTAATCAGGTTAAATAAAGGAAATGCAGCTGATTTTGTATAATAATAACTCATTCAATCACTAAAACAGCTGCGGATGTCAACAAACTTCACATTACCGTCTAACACAAAGACTAAACTTCATATAAATGTTCAAACCTGCTTCATGTTCCTGTAATATGAAAAACATTTTAGTCTCTTATTTATTTCACAAGATAAATGTATTTAATTTTAGTCTCTTTGTACAGAGAGGCTCTAATAAATGCACCATAACAATGTAAATGTTACACATCCATAAAAACAAAATCTTTCGTCCCTTTAAAGTGACGTCTATTCTGCTGACAGAGTTTTGCTGAACTGACCGAAGTCCCGTTAAAAATGTGTTTATTGTAAATGAAGCGAACGATTAGAAACCAGCAGCTTCTGAGCGTCAGCAGGTTTGAATGTGAAGAAGATGAGGATGATGAAGAGTGTGTGGCTCAGCTGCTCGCAGATTTAAATAGCAGCTGATTATCTTCACGTTATCAGAGTCTCTGCAGACGACGCCTCAGACAGCCGCTCTCACACCTTCACTGAGCTTCATGAAGAAAACAAGCTTTTCTCTTTCTGCTTGAACAGTTTTTTGAAATGACGCCTCACACAGCTTCTCGCCCAGTTCCCCAAACGTCCCGTCTTCAGGTCAAAATCTGTCTGGCTGAAACACCAAACACTGCAACACAGTCTTTCAGAACAATACTACAAACCTGGTTATCAGTGATGTTGCTGTGGTTCTGCCCTCACAAAGCTTTCACATGATGAAGCAGAAGGAACAACACACCGAACAACTGGGACAGGCCGGAGACTCTTGTTCCTCCTCCTCCACCTCTTCCTTCACATTTCTCTGGATCCGTTGTTCCTAAACTGAATGAACCGACTGCGGCCCTGTTGTCCATCTAAAGTAAAGTACTTAAGTACAACTTTGAGGTGCTTGTTCTTTATGTGAACATTTCCATTTTATGCTACTTTATAATTTTACTTCTCTAAATGAATCTGATAACTTTGCAGATTCAGATTATTGGTACAAAAACTAATAAATGAACACATGAATCCATCAACAATTAAAATCCAGTAAAATCATATTTAATAATATATATAAAATATAATATAAATAATACAATATAAATATAATGAGTACTTCTACTGTGGCTATGTTTTCATACCTTTGGTGTTAGTAGCTGTGTGTTTGTTTAAAGGGCTTCTGACTGAACAGGATGGACTCCTGCTGAGCTGTTTGTTTTATACTGCTGTGCGTCTCAGGTGGGTGGAGTTTGTTCCATTTAGACAAACATGGACTCTGCTGAACACCTGGATCATTTAAAGTCTTCATGTTTTCACTGCCTCTGACATTCAGACACAAAAACCTGAGAAAAGTTTAAAAAGAAAGAAAGTTTAACTTTTGTGCAGCTTCACTTAAAAGCTAATTATTAGAGAAATAATCTGAAAATTAATAATCAGAATTAAATCCATGTTGTATAAAGTCAGATATAAAGAGGAGACAGTGAACACATGTCACGTTTTATTAACATCTGCGTTTAATAAAATATCTGAAATAAAAACATTTAATCAACATGTGCAAAGTCACATTCTGCGTGAAACCGTGCAGGTTTTCAAAATAAAAGTTAGAACACAGGAGCATCCTGGGAAAATAATTTGTGTGAAGTTTGTGCCTGAAATAAAGAAGTCAGTCTGTAGATACGTGGTTCTTTTTGGGTTCTTTCATGTTTAGAGTCTTGGAGACGTGTCGGCCCCTCGCAGGGCTCAGTGGTGGGAAAACGCTGCAGAGGGGCCCTCTTGAACGCCCCTTTGTGAATAAGATAATGTTCCCTCTGCGGTGCCAACCTGTGAGGAAATGTAGTAAAGCCACATGTTCTCATCTCATGTGGACACCTTGTCACCCCTCGGCGTTGCTTTTTAACGCCCTGGGTTAGCGTTGTTATGGCCCTGGAGGGCCCCGCGGTCAAGTTAGAGAGAATAAATATGTAACGTCCTGTTAGACTTTAGAAGCATTTGGTTTACGTTACTCACACAGAACATAAATTACTTAAGTTAACTTACTCACGCACGTTACGTAAAAACAATAAGAGTAAACTTTGTTTCTCTGAAATGTTCCTTTTCATTAAGAACCGTTAAAATATTAACATCACCGCTGTTAAACTGCAGCACCGGAGGTCAAAGGTCAACCCGGGCGTAGCAGGAAGGGTTAACAGGGTCTGTTCGCTGACAGGAAATGTGAGACGAAACTGTCAAAATAAGATCCAGCTGGTTTAAAACATCCATCTTCAGAGTGAACTTTCTCTGATCACTTCCTCCCCTCAGGTGAGACGTTTACAGGTGAGCTGACTCACGGTGAACAAACCGTCCAGCAGACCAGGTCCAGACCGGGTCCAGGTCTCCTGAGGTCACCCACCCACTCACCTCTCAGGTGAGTCTCACATGTCTCTCAGGTGTTTCCAGGTGATTTTCAAGTGTTTTCCAGGTGAGTCACACGTATCTCAGGTGTTTCCAGGTGAGTCTCACACATGTCTCAGGTGTCCTCAGGTGAGTCTCACACATGTCTCAGGTGAGTCTCACACATGTCTCACGCGTGTCTTCAGGTGAGTCTCAGGTGTTCAGCAGACCGACATGCGTTTGCGGTGCTGCTCCACCAGAGGCACCAGGCAGCGCGGTGAGCTGGCCTGCAGCAGGAACGGATGCTCCAGCAGGTCGGAGGCGCTGGAGCGCTGCAGCGTGTCACGGGTCAGCATGCAGCCCAGGAAGTCCTTCAGCACCGGAGACACCTGAACACAGAGAGTCATCATCAGGTACACACCTCGTTAGCCAGTTAGCCTTCCTGTGATGATCAAATCACAGGGTGTGTGTGTTTATGCTGTTTGTGAGGTCTGGTCCTGACAGTGTTCACTCTGGACCGGAGTCCTCACTCTGTAATAAAGACAGGGAGGCATCTGTGTGTCTGACCTTTTGGATGTTCTTCACGCTCGGCGCCGCTTCGTCTCTAAGCTTCTTCATGGCCGTGATGGGCGTTTCGCTGAAATACGGTGGCTCTCCGTCCACCATCTCCACCACCATGATGCCCAGAGACCAGATATCCACCTGGAAGAAACAGGACGCTGTCAAAGCTCACCTGAACGCACCAGGTGAGGTTCTTTAACACCTGGATTAACTAACACATGCCAACAGGTGTTACGGGGGCGAATGTGTCCTGATGCTGCTCATTTACAGGTTTTAATAATCGGAGGTGACGTTAAATTAAAGATTCACATGAAGCATCTGCCACTGTGGCTCGATACGATTCTCCCTACTGCGCCACAACACAAAAGAAAAAGTTTGATTTTATTTGTATTAATCATAAAGTAACTACATTATAAATAACTTCACACGTTTGTTTCTCTAGTGCTGCAGCTCTGTAAGCAATTTATTTCTTTTTTACTTCTAAAAACTGTATCGGACATTTTCATTCTCATTTAGCTGACGGAAGTGTCTTGCTCAGGGACACGTTGGGAGAAGTGTCGCAGTGGGAATCAAACCCTGGCCCAGTTGTTCTGAAGTCGGATTTCGGGTATCGGATTGGATCAAGCCTTGAAATTAGATCAGGTGATCTGATCCAGTCCTGGTTCAGGTGATCCACAAACCTTCAGTTTGTGTTGTTTTATTGTGAGTTTCCTGTCTCTTCAAAGTAAAGTGACCCCACGCTGGCTATCCTGTCTTATCCACTGCGCCATCATCAGGTCAAGGTTAAATTTATAATCAAACTGAGCCGGACCTTTAACCAGTCCTTCTGCTACACAGCTGAACAGGAAGTTCACAGCGCGTCGCTGCGTCAGGTGACTTAGTTTAGTAATTGATGGCGGCACAGCATGTGTTCCAAAGTGTCGGCCTCAGGAGGCAGGAGGTGAGAGCAACACCATCCAAATGTGCTGAAACCAGTTTGAACCCAAATGTCTCATTTCTAAATAATAAAAAGGCACCGGGACTCTACTAACAATGTGCAGAACGAAATCTGATTACTGAAACGTCTCGAGTTCATCTCTAATTCCCAGGAAGACTTTCAGCATGTACCACAGAGTGCCACAGGAAGTCATCAAACTCTTTAACTCCTCTCTCAGAGAGTCAGAGAGCTGCAATACTACCTGCCTCAGTACTCTGTCCCAATACTTAAGACTGTATCTGTTCCACATCAACTCTACCAGTACCTACAGTATCTCACAGAGTGAGTCCAGTGTAAAGTAGTGAGCGTGCAGCTTGTATAACAGTGTAAAGTAGTGAGCGTGCAGCTTGTATAACAGTGTAAAGTAGTGAGCGTTCAGCTTGTTTAACAGTGTAAAGTAGTGAGCGTTCAGCTTGTATAACAGTGTAAAGTAGTGAGCGTTCAGCTTGTTTAACAGTGTAAAGTAGTGAGCGTTCAGCTTGTTTAACAGTGTAAAGTAGTGAGCGTTCAGCTTGTTTAACAGTGTAAAGTAGTGAGCGTTCAGCTTGTTTAACAGTGTAAAGTAGTGAGCGTTCAGCTTGTTTAACAGTGTAAAGTAATGAGCGTTCAGCTTGTTTAACAGTGTAAAGTAGTGAGCGTTCAGCTTGTATAACAGTGTAAAGTAGTGAGCGTGTAGCTTGTTTAACAGTGTAAAGTAGTGAGCGTACAGCTTGTATAACAGTGTAAAGTAGTGAGCGTGCAGCTTGTTTAACAGTGTAAAGTAGTGAGCGTACAGCTTGTATAACAGTGTAAAGTAGTGAGCGTGCAGCTTGTAGAACAGTGTAAAGTAGTGAGCGTGCAGCTTGTAGAACAGTGTAAAGCAGTGAGCGTGCAGCTTGTAGAACAGTGTAAAGCAGTGAGCGTGCAGCTTGTAGAACAGTGTAAAGTAGTGAGCGTGCAGCTTGTAGAACAGTGTAAAGTAGTGAGCGTGCAGCTTGTAGAACAGTGTAAAGTAGTGAGCGTGCAGCTTGTGTAACAGTGTAAAGCAGTGAGCGTACAGCTTGTGTAACAGTGTAAAGTAGTGAGCGTGCAGCTTGTAGAACAGTGTAAAGCAGTGAGCGTGCAGCTTGTAGAACAGTGTAAAGCAGTGAGCGTGCAGCTTGTAGAACAGTGTAAAGCAGTGAGCGTGCAGCTTGTAGAACAGTGTAAAGCAGTGAGCGTGCAGCTTGTAGAACAGTGTAAAGTAGTGAGCGTGCAGCTTGTAGAACAGTGTAAAGTAGTGAGCGTGCAGCTTGTGTAACAGTGTAAAGCAGTGAGCGTGCAGCTTGTGTAACAGTGTAAAGTAGTGAGCGTGCAGCTTGTGTAACAGTGTAAAGCAGTGAGCGTGCAGCTTGTAGAACAGTGTAAAGCAGTGAGCGTGCAGCTTGTAGAACAGTGTAAAGTAGTGAGCGTGCAGCTTGTAGAACAGTGTAAAGTAGTGAGCGTGCAGCTTGTAGAACAGTGTAAAGTAGTGAGCGTTCAGCTTGTATAACAGTGTAAAGTAGTGAGCGTGCAGCTTGTAGAACAGTGTAAAGCAGTGAGCGTGCAGCTTGTAGAACAGTGTAAAGTAGTGAGCGTGCAGCTTGTAGAACAGTGTAAAGTAGTGAGCGTGCAGCTTGTAGAACAGTGTAAAGTAGTGAGCGTTCAGCTTGTATAACAGTGTAAAGTAGTGAGCGTGCAGCTTGTATGACAGTGTAAAGTAGTGAGCGTTCAGCTTGTATAACAGTGTAAAGTAGTGAGCGTGCAGCTTGTATAGTATTTCTGATTGTGGCGTTACCTCTGTCCCGTACGGGGTTTTGCTGATGACCTCAGGAGCCATCCAGTACGGAGTCCCGACCAGAGACTTCCTCTTCGGGACGTCTTTACTGATCTGAGCGCAGAAACCAAAGTCTGACAGTTTGATCTGCAGCCGGAGGAGATACACAAATACAGTGAATACAAGTACAACACAAACACTCGCATGAACCTGAAAATACTCGAGTAGTAAACGTTACCCTCCCGTCCAGCGTCAGCAGGATGGAGTCGCTCTTGATGTCCCGGTGAACGACCCCCTGAGCATGCAGGTAGCTCAGCGCCTGCAGGACGCCTTCGCACACTGTCGCCGTCTGCTCCTCGCTCAGCCTGAAGCACACACACACCGTGAATCTACAGAACGCTTGCGTCAGACAGGCGCCTGTGACTTCCTGCTCACCTGGTCTCGCTGACGATGTGGGTGAGAGCGCCGCCCTGCAGGTACTCCATGATGACCCAGAGTTCCTCCTCCACCAGAGCGCTGCGGTACATCTCCACTACGTTCTGGTGCCGGTAGTCCCTCATGATGACCACCTGAGGAAGACACGGGGACAGGTGAGGCTGATGATGTCACACTGTATGACTCAGGTGTCTCAGGATGTTTGATCTGAACCTCGTTGAAGAGCAGCTCTCGCCGCTGTTGCTTCCTCAGGTCCATCATCTTCACGGCCACCTGGCGCCCGCTGTGCCTCTCGCGGGCAATGCACACCACACCGGTGGACCCCTCCCCGATCTTCACAAAGTTCCCCAGAGCCGTCCTCGGGTCCCCCGGGTCCACTACCATCTGCAGCGCTGCCTTGAACTGCTCGTGAGTCACCTGCCCGCCTCCGCCGGGCGCTGTCAGCTGGGGGAGGGAGGAGGGGCCCGGGCCGGGAGGGGGTCGTCCTGAGGAGCCTGTGGGGGAGGGGCGGGACTGGTCCAGGACGGGCTGTGCTTTGGGAGGAAGTCCGATGTTGATGCTGGAGGAGGGGCGGCGCTGAGGTAACCCTCTACCTGTGATGATGGGACTGCTGGTGCTGTTGGGGGGGGGCAGCAGGAAGGGGAGGGTCGACTGTGGGAGACAGAAACCAATCAGAGAGAGACACGTGGCTAGGCTAGCAGTTTCCCCCTGTTTCTTAATGCTAAGCTAGGCTAACCGGCAGTCTTACCTTGAGGTCAAAGGAGGAGTGAGGCCTTCTGGGAGTTTCTCTGGAGGAGGACAGCAGGTCGGGCAGGAGACTGGCAGCTGGATCTGGTCTCAGGTGAGGTCTGCTGGTCTCCGCTGTCAGCAGCTTGTAGTGACAGGCTGCCAGCCTCTGTCTAAGCCCCGCCCCCTCACTGCAGGCATACTGTCCACCTGTCGAAACCGTCCTCTCAGGTGCGGGGGGCGTGGCCTCAGACAGCGTCCCCACCTCACAGTTGGACTTGGCTCTCTGCAGCGCCCCGTTCAGTTTGGGGCTGCTGCTCTCGCTGCGAACCTGCCGGATCCTGTCCTGCCAGTAGGTGGAGCTCCCGCCCGTCTTCCCGCCCTCGCCGTGGCTACCCAGCGCCTCGTACTGGTACGCCTCGTCCTCCGGCAGTTCTCCAAGCCGACCCAGAGACTTGGCCCGTTTGCGAGCCGACGGGCTGGTGCGGCGCAGAGAGTTGGAGCTGGTGACGGACAGACGGCTCATCTCCGAGATCACCTGGGAGATGTAGTCGCCGTGACCGATGAAACTGCCCCGCACGATCGTCTGCAGGGATGAGAGCCGCAGGTTAAACATGCTCGCCTGGACAGGAAGTTAGTCAGTTTGCTAAACTGAATGTTTATACTCTGTGTGCACGGTAATTAGGAAAGGCAGCATTTTGACCAAATCATCATTTTTATGCAAATTTCCCAACTCCAGGCTTATTTGCTGTATTTAATCAGATCAGCTGACGTGTATTTGTGGAACGAGGGAAGGTGTGGCCTCAGAAGTCAACACTCTGTATCAAGGTGTGCATAAATATTAATTATTACACAGCTTTGTTGTCTTTGAGTTGGAAAAGATGCATAAAAATGATGATATGGTCAAAATGCTGCCTCGCCTAATAACCGTGCACCCAGAGTTTTACGTGTTTATAAACTAAACTTAGTTTAAATGGTGGATTGTGACGCGTGTTGATGTTACAGAAACAGATTCTTTATAATCAATATAATAATAAAATATGTTCCATGATATGTCAACAAACACCAACAAAAACATGTGAATTGATCTTCATTGTAAATCACGCCGGTCACATGACAGGACTGCGTCCCCCTGAGGGCACCTGCATGGAAACATCAGCTCCTGTTTGAGCTGAACCAGTGAAACAACAAAACATTTGACGGCACAGAGCCACCAGATGGAGGGAGAGAGCAGCATGAATCTTCTAATAAATGAGGTGAAAAGGAGCCACGGTCACATTTAAAGAGGAGGAGGGAAGGCTCAGGACTCAGCAGGGAGGATACCTGCCACATCGCGGGAAGTCTCGTTTATTCTTTTATAACTTATCTTGTTTTTCCCCGAAAACCATCTCTGAGGGGGGGCAACTAAAGTCCTGAGGACCGAGGAGTGACGACCTCTGACCCCTGCGGAGGTCATAAAATGCCCCGACCTCAGAGATCTCCCGACGAGCTGAACTGAAAGGTTCAGCAGCCTTGCTCCTGATCCTGATCCTGACCCTGCTCCTGACCCTGGTCCTGCTCCTGACCCTGACCCTGCTCCTGACCCTGGTCCTGACTCTGATCCTGACCCTGCTCCTGACCCTGGTCCTGCTCCTGACCCTGATCCTGACCCTGCTCCTGACCCTGCTCCTGCTCCTGACCCTGCTCCTGACCCTGGTTCTGGTCCTGGTTCTGGTCCTGGTTCTGGTCCTGGTTCTGGTCCTGATCTGAAGATAAAATTTAACTGACCGGCTGACTGCTGCTTCTTCAGACGACCTCTAGCGTTTTGATGATTGACAGAAACCCCCCCTCCTCCCCTCACCTTCCTGAGTTCGACCTCAGTGACCCTGGAGGGGTCCACCAGGGGGCGTGGCCTCCTCAGCGTGTCAATGACGCTCTGCCACTGCGGCGGCAGACCCACGTAGCGTCCTGAAGCGGCGTCGAATGACGTGTGGACGCGGTGTTGGAAGTCCTGCGGCGGCGATATCTGTGGCCTGCGCTTCTTCTTCCTTCGCTGGAACATCGTCACGGTGACGCAGTGACCCTGAGTGAGACAGTAGGAGACGGCGCTCTGAGACACGGCGGCAGGTCGAAGCACGAGGACACACTGAGAACACTGACAGCTTCGCTCCCTGCTCTCAGGTGGTTCACCTGAGTCACATGACCTCCTCCTGTCACACACAAACAGCCCAGGTGAGAGTTCACCTGCATAGTTAACTGTTTAACTGCCAGCAGCCGTCACAGGCAGGTAGCTTCCAGTTAGCTTCTGTTAGCTACTGTGCTAACCTGGTAGCATTAGCTAACTCCTGAACTGCTTCCACTTAGCTTCTGTTAGCTACTGTGCTAACCTGGTAGCATTAGCTAACTCCTGAACAGCTTCCAGTTAGCTTCTGTTAGCTACTGTGCTAACCTGGTAGCATTAGCTAACTCCTGAACAGCTTCCAGTTAGCTTCTGTTAGCTACTGTGCTAACCTGGTGCCATTAGCTAACTCCTGAACTGCTTCCAGTTAGCTTCTGTTAGCTACTGTGCTAACCTGGTAGCATTATCTAACTCCTGAACAGCTTACAGTTAGCTTCTGTTAGCTACTGTGCTAACCTGGTAGCATTAGCTAACTCCTGAACAGCTTCCAGTTAGCTTCTGTTAGCTACTGTGCTAACCTGGTAGCATTAGTTAACTCCTGAACAGCTTCCAGTTAGCTTCTGTTAGCTACTGTGCTAACCTGGTAGCATTACCTAACTCCTGAACAGCTTCCAGTTAGCTTCTGTTAGCTACTGTGCTAACCTGGTAGCATTAGCTAACTCCTGAACAGCTTCCAGTTAGCTTCTGTTAGCTACTGTGCTAACCTGGTAGCATTAGCTAACTCCTGAACTGCTTCCAGTTAGCTTCTGTTAGCTACTGTGCTAACCTGGTAGCATTAGCTAACTCCTGAACAGCTTCCAGTTAGCTTCTGTTAGCTACTGTGCTAACCTGGTAGCATTAGCTAACTCCTGAACAGCTTCCAGTTAGCTTCTGTTAGCTACTGTGCTAGCCTGGTAGCATTAGTTAACTCCTGAACAGCTTGTGTTAGCTCCTACTGTAGCATGCTGGGCAGTTAGCGTACAGGTGTGTTTTTCTTTAATCAGGTCTGAAACAATAATAAATAAAGTTAAAAACATCTGAGCTTTAAATGAGTGAATGTTTTATTTTGAAGGTGATGATGTCTCACCTGTGTGAATCGCTGTCTCGGATTGGTTCAGATCAGATCACCTGCAAAGGGACGATGAAGCAGACTCCTCCTCTCCTCTCCTCTCCTGTCTCCTTCTTTTATTTCGTTTATCTAGTCAAAACAACAGATTAAAAGAAAACAATCAAACAAACAATAACGTTTCTATTCTCCGGTCTGATGGTTTTCTATCTGTGTTCCTCAGGTTCTGTTTACTGAGTCTGTGCTGGGTCTAAGGTTCTCAGTAGTCCTTAGTTAGGTCGGAGGGGTTGTGCGATGTCCTGAGGATCTGTGAGGCTCAGGGGCCACAGCCTCAGCAGAAGCTGACTTAGGGGACTCTGAGTTTATCTCTCTGCAGGTCTAAACCCTGACCTGAGACCCTTCTGGGTCTCTTGATTTTAGATTATTGTAGATTTTGGTAGCTCTTTTTTGGATTCTGATTCTGAGTCGGTTCTGGCCGAGTTCTGCTCTGCAGGCGTTGTTTAAGATTTTCTTTATACATATGTGCTCTCTCTCTCTCTCTCTCACCTCTCTCCTCCTCCTCAGAGCTAAGGGAGTCAGGTGACACCAGCAGTTCTCCAGGTGAGTGGGCAGACAGGATGTTTACACAGGCCTGAGCAGGACCTGGACCAGGTGATCTAACTCGCCTTCCAGCTGCTTAGGAGTTGCTTGTATCTCAGCCAATCAGAGGCCAGCAGCATTGAACACTCAGATCACAGTCTGACTCCCACTCCCACTCCGACTCCCTCCCAGACTAACTCCCACTCTGACTCCCTCCCAGACTAACTCCCACTCTGACTCCCTCCCAGACTAACTCCCACTCTGACTCCCACTCCGACTCCCTCCCAGACGGACTCCCACACGGACTCCCAGACTGACTCCCACTCTGACTCCCACTCTGACTCCCACTCCGACTCCCTCCCAGACTGACTCCCACTCTGACTCCCTCCCAGACTAACTCCCACTCCGACTCCCTCCCAGACGGACTCCCACACGGACTCCCAGACTGACTCCCACTCTGACTCCCACTCTGACTCCCACTCCGACTCCCTCCCAGACTGACTCCCACTCTGACTCCCTCCCAGACTGACTCCCACTCTGACTCCCAGACCGACTCCCACTCCGACTCCCTCCCAGACTGACTCCCACTCTGACTCCCACTCTGACTCCCAGACTGACTCCCAGACTGACTCCCAGACTGACTCCCACTCTGACTCCCAGACTGACTCCCAGACTGACTCCCACTCTGACTCCCAGACTGACTCCCACTCTGACTCCCAGACTTACTCCCAGACTGACTCCCAGACTGACTCCCACTCTGACTCCCAGACCGACTCCCACTCTGACTCCCACTCTGACTCCCAGACTTACTCCCAGACTCACTCCCAGACTGACTCCCTCTCTGACTCCCAGACTGACTCCCACTCTGACTCCCAGACTGACTCCCACTCTGACTCCCACTCTGACTCCCAGACTGACTCCCAGACTGACTCCCACTCTGACTCCCAGACTTACTGCCAGACTGACTCCCACTCTGACTCCCACTCTGACTCCCAGACTGACTCCCAGACTGACTCCCACTCTGACTCCCAGACTGACTCCCACTCTGACTCCCAGACTTACTCCCAGACTGACTCCCAGACTGACTCCCACTCTGACTCCCAGACTGACTCCCACTCTGACTCCCAGACTTACTCCCAGACTGACTCCCAGACTGACTCCCAGATCGACTCCCACTCTGACTCCCACTCTGACTCCCAGACTGACACTTGAAGGTCAGAAGCATTACGTCACAGACGTCCCCACAGGGATAGTGGAACAAATATGTGTGTGTGTGTGTAATCAGGGTGTGACCGACATACCTGAGGAATCAAACCGACTACATGACCAGACAGCTCGCTGTGACTCACCTGCAGGCAGATACCCGGGGCCAGACAGGAGGTAGAGTTAATGAACGATCGTTTAATAATCGATCAGCCAGGCTGTGGTCAACGAGTCGCCTTCTGCTCAGTCTGCAAATCAAGAGCAGCAGGGATCCATCAGATCTTCAGCTGGATCAGAGCACAACAGGTTTTAAGAAATAAAGTTCACTATCGAAGCCACAAACTCACTTGTTTAAAAAATAATCCCAAAGTGTTCACATCTGCAGAGCTTCAATTTAACAGCTGACTGGCTGAAGTGGGTCGGCCCTGTCTGTAATATCTTTAATGTAAATGAAGCTAAAGAGCTGAGACTGAGAAACACAGGGAGGACCTGACAACAACAGAACCATCAGCTGATCTAAAGATGATGTTTATGGACACCAAGTTCAATTACTGGAGACTTTCCTGACTATGTAGTTCAATATTTTATAAAGTTTAAGGTTACAGAAGAAGAAGAAAAACAACAACAACTGAGAGGAAGAAACACGCCACTGACTTCAGATCGGTTACACTTTCACACCAAACCTTCAATTCACACAGATCAGCTTACTGCAGCTCAGTCAGTCAGCTGTGTACCTGTACAGGTCGACCCGCTGTGATTAAGCACTTGAACAAAGAGGTTCTCCCTGACCTCCTTTTAAAGCAGCAACAAAGTGTTGGAGCTCAAACAGCAGCAGCTCGGCCAGCTGGACGGTTCATCCACAAACTGCATCATACACATTTCCTGCGTCACAGACCCATAGTCCTGACCACAACAACAACAACACACTTTTACAGCCCGTCTTTGTTTCTGGGCTTCATGTAGATCAGGGTCGGTGCTCCAGACCAGGAGGAGGTGCTGATGCACCTGAAGCTGTTTCTAACATCAAAAACACCAAGAGACCTTTAACAGTTTAGCTAACAGCTATCCATAAGCCAACAGCTGTACATAAGCTAACAGCTGTACATAAGCTAACAGCTGTACATACGCTAACAGCTGTCCATAAGCTATCCATAAGCTAAAAGCTATCTATAACCTAAGTACTAACATAAGCTAACAGCTGTGCATTCGCTAACAGCTAACACAAGCTACCATAAGCTAACAGCTGTACATAAGCTAACAGCTGTTCATATGCTAACAGCTGTCCATAAGCTATCCATAAGCTAACAGCTATCTATAACCTAACTGCTAACATTAGCTAACAGCTATCTATAACCTAACTGATAACATTAGCAAACAGCTATCCATAAGCCAACAGCTATCCATAAGCCAACAGCTGTACATAAGCTAACAGCTGTACATAAGCTAACAGCTGTTAGCGAATGTACAGCTTAAGATATCCATAAGCTAACACCTATCTATAACCTAAGTACTAACATAAGCTAACAGCTCACATAAGCTAACAGCTGTGCATTCACTAACAGCTAACACAAGCTAGCATAAGCTAACAGCTGTACATACGCTAACAGCTAACATAAGCTAGCATAAGCTAACAGCTATCTATAACCTAACTGCTAACATTAGCTAACAGCTATCCATAAGCCAACAGCTGTACATAAGCTAACAGCTGTACATACGCTAACAGCTAACATAAGCTAGCATAAGCTAACGGCTGTGTATACATTAAAGGTGATTTTCATGATGTAGTTTAAAACTCAAAGTACTTCTCTGCTTGTTTGCTGAGTTTCAGTCTCAGAAACTAACGCTGCTCTTGCGAACGCTGCTCTTGCGAACGCTGCTCATGCGTACGCTGCTCATGCCAACAGCTGCTCATGCTAACGCTGCTCATGCTAACGCTGCTCATGCTTATGGTCAGTAGTGGAATATATTTACTCAAGTTCTTCAAATTCGAGGTACTTTCCTTGAGTATTTCCATTTCACGCCACTTTCTACTGCACATCTCAGAGGAAACATTGTACTTTTTACTTCTCTACATTTATCTCACAGCTTTAGTCACTAATTACTATCTTTCATTCATTTCCTGTCCAGTGAAAACCACGTATCTCCAAATGTGGTGTAGATTTGTTCTGATAAACAGGACGACGTCGTCCTTTAAGGGCTGAGAAAACGATCCTGCTTCTTAATCTGAACAAAAGATTACAACTGACCTCAGATCAGCTGGCCTGTTTTAATGTTTAGAGATACAGACCACGATGCATTGCTGCAGATTAAACTACTAACAGCATGTAAAGTAGTTAAAACATCTTCAGCGGGAACATTAAACTGATGGATTCACACGGACGCTTCACTTCCTGTGTCTTCAGCTCTGCAGTAACAAGGACGCTACAGGAAGCCCCTCCTCTGCACCGTTCTGACAAATACTGTTTATTAATAAAAGTTCTATGTGGAACCTTTTGAGTCTGGAGAGAACCTAACTGTGTCTGTAACGTTCTGCTACTCCATAAACCTTTTCAATATGAAGAACAATCTGTTTCAGATCTCTCTAAGGGGTTCTCAAGTGTTCCATAACATGTTTAAAAATGCTTAAAAGGTTCTTGTAGAACAGCTGCAGAGAATCTAACTGTGTCTCGAACATGTTCTGCTGTAGATCAAGCCACAAGAACCATTTACTACACATGATATTGTGGTTCTTTTAGAGCTTTGAAGGTGGCACGAAAATGTCATGTGTGAAATAACCAAGAACTATTTTAAGGTTCTTTGTAGAACCTTTTTAAAATAATCAGTTTATATACCTGTTTAACATGTTCTTCACGGTCCCGTACAGACTGTGTCACCGGGTTCTTTACGTTCATATCATGGCATTGGACACCTTTACCTACCAAGTCTAGTGTTACTTAGCTTTAAGAACGAGAACCCGGTTCTCGTTCTTAAAGCTAAGCTGTGATGGGTTCTAACAGGTACAGACCAAAGCAGCCTTCTTTGTGAGGTTCTGCACAGCTCAGTGAGGGTCTGGATCTGCAGAGAACCTTCTTGGTACTTTACAGCCTTTTGTTTGTCAGCTGTGTAGAACAATTACACTTTAAAGACTACACATAGACACACTCACCTGGCCGGCAGAGCCCAGCAGAGCCCAGGTGAGTCCAGCAGAGTCCAGGTGAGTCCAGGTGAGTCCAGCAGAGCCCAGGTGAGTCCAGGTGAGTCCAGGTGAGTCCGCTCCTGCCGTCGTTCTCCTGCTCCGACACACGACTCTCTCTCCCCCTGCTCCTGTTTCTCCTCCCTCTCTTCACGCGCCCTCCCCCTCCCCCACCGGGCTCATCCCGTCTCACCTTCTCTCAGGTATGAAAGAAAAAAGGTGGAGGAGGGCGGGGCTTAGTTTGATTGACAGTTTGTCGCTTCTCTCTGTATTGACAGGACAGCAGAGACGTTGTGAGCAGGTTGGTGAGAGAGGAAACACTCAGGCCGGACTGTGGGTGACGGATCTGTAATTAAATCTGAAGTATTCCTGTTTTCTGCTCTGGTTCAGCCGGACTGATCTTTCACTGAGCTGACAAACTAAATGAGGTCAAACGCTTCGGGTTCCTTCACATGTCAGGACGGATCTCTCTCTCTCTCTCTCTGCAGGCCGCAGCATGCCTCTCTCGCCCTCCCTCGGGGTGAGGAGGACGGTGAATCACCTGAGGCAGGTGAAGAAACTCCGGCTCAGCTTTTGATCACGTGTTCTCCTTCAGCAGTGACGGAGGAAACGTCCCTGCTGTGTTTGTTCCGGAGCTTTCGACCGTTTCGCTGCGTCTGAATGAGGCCCAGCTGAGTGCTGCCACCTGCTGGTGACACTTCACCACCTCAGCTCTACTTTACTGCTCTCTTCACATTCAGCCTGCTTCAGGACATCCAGCTGTTGGTCCAATAGGAGCTCCAGCCCTCTGCATCATGAGCCCGGGTGGTGTCTCTGTTCAGTCTCATTATAAATTACTAACACTGACAAAAACCTGCCTGTTAAAATACTGAGCATCTTCAAATAAATTACATCCCACTCTGGCTTTTTCTGTGCAGATCAAAGTTTCCTTTATTGACGCTTCGAGCTGCTGAGCTGTGCAGGTTACATCACGTCCACCTGCATCGCTCAGGTCACCCCCAGATTCAAGTTCAATTCAACACTTTAAGACCGCCAAGGATGAAGTTTAATGCCTGCTTCACTGCTGTATTATGGAAAATCTGGATGAATTTTAAGCCCCAAAAAAATTTACAAAGTTACCTGAATTTTATCAAAACATTTTATTATAAGACTCACATTCATATTTAATACACAACAGCTTTTCAGGGTGTGTTTGTACTCTGACAACATAAAATTAACACAATATTTGTCCGGCTAACAACTCTTATGGTGCGACACCAAAACTACAAAATAAATTGTGCAGTGCAAGTCGTGGCTAGATAAGGTGAAGGCTTACTGCTTCAGTCATTAGTCATCAGTTTCAATTTTTGCATCTTAAGGCTGTTTGAAATACAGAAACTTCACCTTATAATATAGTAGTGGCTTAAAAGCAGCGGGATAAGGACCTGGTCTCCGGTTTGTCCAAACCCCGTCACCAACTCAACCCTCAGGTACCTTACCGATGTTCACCGATCAGCCACAACATTACGACCACCTGCTGGTCCTGACCCGTGGAGGTCTGGACTCCACCGTGTGTTCTGGCACCGACTGACAGGTGACATGGTCATCACAGGTATTCACTTCCTGTCAGTGGTCACGATGTCACGGCTGATCGGTGTGTTTAAACTTCAGTTAGTACTCTGTGTACTCCTCTCAAAGCCAACATGTACATTTGTAAAGTTTCCCTCTCCTACGTAACCAACTTGGCGAGCGTTGAGGAGGAGGCGTGTCCTGTGTTCTCCTGGCTCCTGACTCTGTTAGAGCCCGACCGAGACGCAGATTTAATTATAAACAACCTTTTTATTTAGTTTGACAAGAAAACACAGATACATGAAGAACCAGCAGGAGAGACTCAGGCGAAAAGCGCCGACAGCTGCTCCTGCAGCTCCGACAGGACGGACAGCGACGAGCGGCCCCCGGCGTTCAGCAGCGTCCGGAAAAAGCTCGTCCATTTTCTGGAGTGCAGGACGCTGTGGAGACAGGAAGACACGTCAGACGGGTCATGTACCTGGGCAGGTGAGGAGGGGAGCGGCTGAGCCCGGTCCACCGGCAGTGAAGCAGACGGCTGGACCGCAGGTGAACTGGGTCGGTACCTGGGTTTGTCTTCACTGAACCACTCTGCCGTCCAGCCGCCTTCGTCTTTAACAGCGACCATCCTGCTGTTGGTCAGGAGGAGGTGGACCGTTTCGGCCACGCCCACCAGGTCAACCTGACGGGCAGAGAAAAGGGGAGGGGTTAGTCTTCACCCAGTGGAGGAGGCGGGGTCTGTACAGAGCGGACAGGTGTTTCGGAGGCGGTACCAGCTCTGGCGGGGCGGTCGGCTCCAGTAGACCCAGAGTGATGTAGGCCTGAGCCGATGGGATCTGCTGGACCGAGGTGACGCCCTGCTGGAGGTCCAGGTCCACAGAGGACGACCAGTCCACCGGGAAGACCGAATCAGGACTCAGGGAACCTCTGGAGGAACAACGACAAGTTAAACTGTTCTGCTCGTGATCCACCGACTCAAACTCAGAATCACATGACCACGCCCCCCCGTCCCCCCTCACCTGTGTGTGTCCTTGGAACAGGTGAGAACACTGGGCTGCAGCCCCGCATGCAGCAGCCTGCAGGAGTGCAGCTGCGACACCAGATGCAGCAGAGCCAGGACTTTATAACCGACCAACAGCTCGGTGGGAGCGCGCTCAGTCAGCTCCTGCAGACACACACCTTAGTTATTCCCTTAACCCAAACCCCGAGGGGAAATCAAACTAAAACGGCGCGCCTCGCCGTGTCAGCGTGTTGTTGGGTCGTGACTCACTGTGAACTTGTAACCAGCCGGGTTTTTGTAGACGGTGATGCAGCCGTCCAGGAACAGGAAACAGCTGATCAGAGGAAGACCGGCGGCGGCGGCCGAGTTCTTCTTCAGACGCTGAAACTGATGGAAATCCCAGGGAACAGAGCAGCTGTCCACCTGCGGCAGGTAAACACAGGAAACCACATCTATCACCATGGAGACCCAGAATCAGAAAGGGAGCCGGTTTAAACAGCTGGGAGGTTTAATCAGGTTTCCTTTAGCTTCTACAACACTGACTGGATGATTTGGAGTGAAATGCACCCTGGGAGTCGTAGTTGACTTGGGAACAGGGAAGGTCAAAAGACTAAACTTTAAACTTGGCCAGTTTTCACTAACTAAATTTCCCATGATGCTTTGACAGCGTAATACAAGAATCTAAGCTGAGGTTTGGTCTGATGACGAGAGGTGAAGGTGAGGCAGCTAGAACAGCTTCACCTTGATGAGCACGTGGTCGTGGTCCTCTGTAGTTCCTTTATAGACGGAGAAGCTTCCTCGGTCCAGAACTCCAGGGAAGAGAGTAAAGAATCTGCCCCCTGGTGGACACACATCCAATAAAGAATAATCAGTCAGCACTGATCCAACATGTTTGTCCTGGTGAGAGTAATATTACAGTACTGATCCTGTTTGAGCTGAAACAATTCATCGATTAAAACAACATGTAATCAGATAATCAATGAATCAGTTTAATCAATAAGATTCTCTCTGCTTGATCGACTGCTGAGAAACCAACAGGCAGATTAACCAATAATCAGTCTGATCAACAACATGTGGTGCGGATGTTCGTACCCAGCTGCAGAAAGCCATCCGTCTCCACTTCAGGGAGGGGGCGGGGCTCTGAGTGGAAGTCTGGAGAGGAAGTGACATCACAGAGCTCCAGCAGCCGCCGCCGCACGTCAGGGTCACAGGGATCCACAGCACCACCAACTGGTCAAAACATATCAAGCACAGAGTAAACATCCGGAGGAGACTCGTGGGCAGGAAACAACCACCAACAGGGGGCGAGGCGACTCGTGGGCAGGAAACAACCAAACAAACATCTGGGGGCGAGGCGACTCGTGGGCAGGAAACAACCAAACAAACATCTGGGGGCGAGGCGACTCGTGGGCAGGAAACAACCAAACAAACATCTGGGGGCGAGGCGACTCGTGGGCAGGAAACAACCAAACAAACATCTGGGGGCGAGGCGACTCGTGGGCAGGAAACAACCAAACAAACATCTGGGGGCGAGGCGACTCGTGGGCAGGAAACAACCAAACAAACATCTGGGGGCGAGGCGACTCGTGGGCAGGAAACAACCAAACAAACATCTGGGGGCGAGGCGACTCGTGGGCAGGAAACAACCAAACAAACATCTGGGGGCGAGGCGACTCGTGGGCAGGAAACAACCACAACCAACAGGGGGCGAGGCGACTCGTGGGCAGGAAACAACCACAACCAACAGGGGGCGAGGCGACTCGTGGGCAGGAAACCACCACCAACAGGGGGCGAGGCGACTCGTGGGCAGGAAACCACCACCAACAGGGGGCGAGGCGACTCGTGGGCAGGAAACAACCAAACAAACATCTGGGGGCGAGGCGACTCGTGGGCAGGAAACAACCAAACAAACATCTGGGGGCGAGGCGACTCGTGGGCAGGAAACAACCAAACAAACATCTGGGGGCGAGGCGACTCGTGGGCAGGAAACAACCACCAACAGGGGGCGAGGCGACTCGTGGGCAGGAAACAACCACCAACAGGGGGCGAGGCGACTCGTGGGCAGGAAACAACAACAACCAACAGGGGGCGAGGCGACTCGTGGGCAGGAAACAACCAAACAAACATCTGGGGGCGAGGCGACTCGTGGGCAGGAAACAACAAACATCTGGGGGCGAGGCGACTCGTGGGCAGGAAACAAACAAACATCTGGTGGCGAGGCGACTCGTGGGCAGGAAACAAACAAACATCTGGTGGCGAGGCGACTCGTGGGCAGGAAACAACAAACATCTGGTGGCGAGGCGACTCGTGAGCAGGAAACAAACATCTGGGGGCGAGGCGACTCGTGGGCAGGAAACAAACAAACATCTGGGGGCGAGGCGACTCGTGGGCAGGAAACAAACAAACATCTGGGGGCGAGGCGACTCGTGAGCAGGAAACAACAAACATCTGGGGGCGAGGCAACTCGTGGGCAGGAAACAAACAAACATCTGGGGGCGAGGCGACTCGTGAGCAGGAAACAACAAACATCTGGGGGCGAGGCGACTCGTGGGCAGGAAACAACAAACAGGGGGCGAGGCGACTCGTGGGCAGGAAACAAACGGGGCGAGGCGACTCGTGAGCAGGAAACAAACAAACAAACATCTGGGGTAGAGGCGACTCGTGGGCAGGAAACAAACAGGGGTCGAGGCGACTCTCACGCCCCGCCTGTGTAACGGTCATCAGGTCTAAACAGGGTTTAGACTCACCGTGTGATGGAACGGGGTCCAGTTCCTCCTGGTCCTGGTCCTCCTGCAGTGGACTACCGTGTCCGGCCGACATCCCCAGCGAGGTCAGAGAGTTTGCCTCCACGCTGGTCTCCTGTATGGGACTCAGCTCCTGTCTGGTTTTAGACACTGGTTCCACTGAGGTCTGGACCACTGATCGTTTCAGAAACACAGAAAAGTCAGAAGCTTCAGCCTGAATGTGCCGTGAGGCCGAGACGGCACATAGACCAGCTCGGATCAATAACCCCGTCCCTGACTGCGCTGATCCCTGATCAGGTTTTCAGTGTTAGAAGTGAAGTCTAATGGGGAGGAATTCCAAACCTTAGATCTGGGAAATGTCATTTAGTTAGTTAATATGGTCTGGGTCTCACCTGTGGGGGTCTGAGTCTCACCTGTGGGGGTCTGGGTCTCACCTGTGGGGGTCTGGGTGAAGCCGTTTTGTGGAGCAGATGGCAGGTTTGTGTTGTGAGGCTGGATCCCAGCGTCGACCTGCAGTCAAGAGGAGCAGCAGAGTCAGTTCCTGAGACCTTCACACTGTCCGTCTGTGGACGTCAGTGTCAATAAAGTTTAGTTCATGTGAACTTTATGAGCGACTTCCACCAATCATCAATCAGTGAGGTTAGATCTGTTCCCGTCTTTATGTTGGGACGTCTTGGACAAAGATCAGAAAAATTATCCTTCCGTTTTCTAAAATTTTCCCTTTTGCTTTTTCTGTAACAGCCTGATCAGGACCTGGACTCTGTACCTGGACTCTGTACCTGGACTCTGTACCTGGACTCTGTACCTGGACTCTGTACCTGGACTCTGTACCTGGACTCTGTACCTGGACTCAGAGACAAACTGTGTGTTTCAAAGTAACAAACCTGAGGGAGTGAAGAGGTTCCGAAAAAACCTGCGAGACACAAACACATCAGAGAAGCTGGTTATTAACAGACTGAGACCAGGACCACAGACTCAGCTGGACCGGGACCACAGACTCAGCCGGACCGAGACCACAGACTCACCTTGTTGTGGACACTGGACCTTCAGACACAGCCCTCTCTCGTCAGGTCGGAGGAAGACGTCGTCCTGCAGCTTGTCCTGAGACGCGTCAGAGGTTCTGTTGAAGACACACGAGGACTTTGAGTCCAGCTGATTCACACCAGGCTGCAGTTCATGAGCGGTGCATTTATTACCCAGCAGGCCGAGCAGCAGCAGCAGACCGGGAGTCTTCGTAGATCTGGAAGGAGGCGGCAGCGGGAGGCCCGGCAGCGTCTCTGATCCGAGAGGCGGAGCCTTCAGGACCCATCTGCAAGTGTTACATGGTTAGTCTGAGGTCACGTGATGCAACCTTTTCTCTTTATTTGTAGCATCAGGTGTAATTTTGGGTGTAGTATCAGTATCGGGTGCAGCAGTATCAGTATTGGGTGCAGCAGCATCAGTATCGGGTGCAGCAGCATCAGTATCGGGTGCAGCAGCATCAGTATCGGGTGCAGCAGTATCAGTATCGGGTGCAGCAGCATCAGTATCGGGTGCAGCAGCATCAGTATCGGGTGCAGCAGCATCAGTATCGGGTGCAGCAGTATCAGTATCGGGTGCAGCAGTATCAGTATCGGGTGCAGCAGTATCAGTATCAGTATCGGGTGCAGCAGCATCAGTATCGGGTGCAGCAGTATCAGTATCGGGTGCAGCAGTATCAGTATCGGGTGCAGCAGTATCAGTATCGGGTGCAGCAGTATCAGTATCGGGTGCAGCAGTATCAGTATCGGGTGCAGCAGTATCAGTATCAGTATCGGGTGCAGCAGTATCAGTATCGGGTGCAGCAGTATCAGTATCGGGTGCAGCAGTATCAGTATCGGGTGCAGCAGCATCAGTATCGGGTGCAGCAGCATCAGTATCGGGTGCAGCAGTATCAGTATCGGGTGCAGCAGTATCAGTATCAGTATCGGGTGCAGCAGCATCAGTATCGGGTGCAGCAGTATCAGTATCAGTATCGGGTGCAGCAGCATCAGTATCGGGTGCAGCAGCATCAGTATCGGGTGCAGCAGTATCAGTATCGGGTGCAGCAGCATCAGTATCGGGTGCAGCAGTATCAGTATCGGGTGCAGCAGCATCAGTATCGGGTGCAGCAGCATCAGTATCGGGTGCAGCAGCATCAGTATCGGGTGCAGCAGTATCAGTATCAGTATCGGGTGCAGCAGTATCAGTATCGGGTGCAGCAGTATCAGTATCAGTATCGGGTGCAGCAGTATCAGTATCAGTATCGGGTGCAGCAGTATCAGTATCGGGTGCAGCAGTATCAGTATCAGTATCGGGTGCAGCAGTATCAGTATCGGGTGCAGCAGTATCAGTATCAGTATCGGGTGCAGCAGTATCAGTATCGGGTGCAGCAGTATCAGTATCAGTATCGGGTGCAGCAGTATCAGTATCAGTATCGGGTGCAGCAGCATCAGTATCGGGTGCAGCAGTATCAGTATCAGTATCGGGTGCAGCAGTATCAGTATCGGGTGCAGCAGTATCAGTATCGGGTGCAGCAGTATGTGTGTACCTGTGACTTCATGAGCTCTACGAGTCTCTTCTTCTCCTCCAGCTCCTTCCTCAGCTGCTTCTTCAGCTCTTCGCCACGTCTCAGTTTCTCTGCAGGAAACAACCGAAAGAACATCTTCAGTTCAGGTCTCCTGACACGGCGCCGTCAGGAGGTCTGTGAACCCACCGTGAGGTCCGTGAACCCACCGTGAGGTCCGTGAACGCACCTTCTATCTCCCGCTCTTCTCTCCGTTTGAAGTATCTTTCCGCTCTGAGCTCCTCGAAGCTGAACTCTTCCCGTCCTCTCGTCAGCAGCTCGATACAGTACTCAGGCCTCTGACTGACCACGCCCTCCTCCTGATGCCCCGCCCCCGCGATCGGGTGCGTCTGTGTTGATGAAGGCTCGCTCTGATAGGCCGACCTGCAGCCAATAGGGAGACGCAGAGGAGTCAGTGCTGAATCAATGTGTTTTCAGAAGATGCAGAAATCAGAGAAAAGGTCCATTTAAATTGTCCTCTCTGGGCTTTTGTACTGAAACACACTTACGGTCCCACCTGCACCGGCAGCCCCTCCGCCATCTCTGCACCTGATCGACCAATCAGAACACACCAGTCAGTCTAAACCAATCATTCATCAGCTAGAAGCACGTCAGGGTCCGCAGAGATCAGGGCCGAGTTCAGTCTCAAAACGTTTTGCATCATTTTCCCATTGAACGACAGGTTTCCTGCAACGTTCTGCAACGTTCTGCAACGGGCTTCGAGGTACGTTTCCTCCCGTTTGTGTCTCAGGTGTTACACAAGTTTGTAAACACAACGGTGTGAATTGCAGTGCGGTTGCGTTCACAGCATTGCGTTCAAGGAACCACCGTTTCTGTTGGAAAACAACGTTTTGTCTGCGCTGAACTCGCCCCAGTGTTCATGTAACACCTGTGGCACCACTGTGTTAAAGGTGTTAGTCATGCACATGCTGCGTACACATGGCACAGTGGAGCAGACACGTGCCTTCTCTCAGCTGAAGGACTAAATATTACTATAGTTTTAAAAGTGTTACTACATGTAAAACAACAACATAGAGCGCCGTTTTCACAGACGTGTTCTAACTTCGTCCTCTCTGAGGCACTGCAGTCCAGATGTGACAGCTCTACAGTGTCCTGGACTTCAGGGTCGTTGCTCCACCTTGTCCCAGGTGTTCCTCTCACCTGTCTTCTGCTCTTTACAGGTGTTTCTCTGTCCTCAGCTTCAGAAAGACACCTGGGGCCGCGTTCAGCGCCGACTAAACGTTTCACTCAGAAACGGTGGGTCTTTTTTTTTACACCGTTGTTTACAAACTTGTCGCAGCTGATTGGGTAACACCTGAGACACGCCCACCACACAGACGAGAACAAACCTGAAGTTCGTTGCGCAACGTTGCAAGTAAACATGTCGTTCAATCAGAAAACGTTGCAAAACGTTTAGAGCTTGCCCCCCCCCCCCCCGCTTCACAGCTGTCTGACAGTCTGACGCTGGTTCGTGTTAAACGGAACAAACCCGCGTCACTCTGAAGCTGTGAGACTCTCTGTCCTCTGCAGGCGCGGTTACTGTAAAAACGACGGATATCTGAACGGAGTCTGGCGGAAGCTTCGCTTTTAAACCGTCTCCATGGTGACGTGTTGAACCAGTAAAACCTCTCTTACCTGAAACGTTCAATAAATCCAGAGAAACAAACCGACTTTACTCAGAGACCCGCTGTTTCTGTGGTTCCCACACAACTTTGAACCTGCTGCCGCGGCGCTGATTGGCCTATTTGACGACCACGATTCACACGTCACTTCCGCTCCGGGTCACATGTTATAGCGCCCCTGCTGGCCGGAGGCAGCTGGGCGTTTTACACACAGGAGGAATTTTACACGCAGACACAAATAAATGTAGAAATATAAACAATACAAGTCATACAAGAATATTCAAGAGAATAGAGAAATAACATTATTCTGGGTTTGTGCAACGAAATCTCTAAATTTACAACAACAAAGATTAACAATTAACAACAAATACAGGCAGTGTGCAGGTTTTGTGCCTGAGATGAAACAGTATTTACATGTGCAGAGACATTTGAATCAGACCCGGGTCTTGTTACTGAGGCTGCAGACAGGAAGTAGCTGTTTATGTGGCGAGAGGTTTTGGTCCTGATGGACGCAGCCTCCTGCCAGAGGGGAGAAACAGCTTGTGTCCGAGGTGGCAGGGGTCAGCTAGTAAAACAACAATGTTGTCAAAGCAACAATTAAATTACGAAAGAACTGTTCATTTATACAGTTCATTAAATAAAGGTAATAAAACACTAAACGTGTGTGTTTGTGTGTGTAAATAAAATAATTAATAAATAAATATTTTTAAAAAATAAACAGTAAGTGTGTGTTAAAAAATATTTAAAATTCAAATAAAATAAAAACAATAAAAGTAAAGTGTGTTTGTGGGTGTAAAAAATAAATTAATAAAATAAATATTAAGAATAAAATAAAGTAAATAAGTGTGTGAGTGTTAAAAATTCAAAATTCAAATAAAATAAATAAATAAACGGTAAACATGTGTGAGTGTGCGTATATTAAAAGCCTAAAACATAAAATAATAA